AACGTCTAGGATTTGACCTGTCCAGGATTTGAGGGTTCAAGGTTTAGGCTTCTACGGATTTTAGGCCTGAAGATTCGGGCCGTTAAGGATTACGGTTTAGGGTTTGGAGGAATTTGGGATTGAGGTTTCGGTTTAGGGCTCAGTGGTTGTGGACTGAATCTTCGAGGGTTTGCTTAGGGTTTAGGGTTCGCAAGGGGTGTAGGGGTTGCGGGGAATTTCGAGGGTTCACGGTGCAGGTCTGATCGATTCCCGTTAAACTGGCCTACAGTCCTTCTGCCCTTATCCTAGAATGCTTACCGAAACACTATCGGGCTGCATTCGGGCTTCATGGGGTTTAGGGCCGACGGCCAGGATCACTGTAACTCCTTAACATTCCTTAAAGGGAACGTACTGAAAGCCCCAGCGGACTTAGTGAGTTAGGCTATAAGTAAGTAAGCAATAATTCGGAAGTTCCCACTTAGCACACTTATCACCCCAAGTACTACGGTTGATGATATCAATCCTGCATTACCCATAATAAGGAATTTACCATAATTCCCATAGTTTAGGGTTTAGGGTCCTCAAGGAGGATTTATATCATCAATAGTACGTCCCCTCAGCCCGAGCCCTCAAGTAAACGACCCACTGCAGCAGTCGCTTCCTCGCTCACTCAACCACTCCGGGCTTTCAGCACCCCTCGCCTCGAGCCATAGTTACTTTTGGGCTTCAGACTTCTGGGTCCTGTGTTTTCTTAATATGTAATGTAGTGTGTTTTTGTTTTGTTTTTTTGGGGGGGAGGGGCGGGGTTAGGGCCTAGGCTGACGCTCGCACCCAAGATGATTGTCAGGGTCGGCTGGGTGCATCTGAATATATTCTCCGTCGCACAAGCAAGCGTCAAAGACCGCGTGCTAGTCAGAACCAAGAGCATTCGGAAAACTCCTACTTAGAGGATCATGGGACTTAGTAAGTAGGTTATAACTGGGGTTATACGTCCCCTAAGTGGGGTTATCCTAATTGTAACCTACTTATAACCTGACTTACTAAGTCCAATGAGCCTTCAAGTAATTACTTTGGACTTAAAGCGGATTCTCCGAGGAAATTCCCCACAACGACAGCAACACTTAACCCCACATCTGTCCATGAGCTCTCATTGCTCTTTGCAACCCAGGATCTGTAGACGGAATTCAAGTAATACCCATATATCATATATCCATATCCCCACACCCCTAAAGGCGAGAACCCCAAACCACAAAACCCTACTGGCCCCTACTGTAAGCCCCTCAATCCCGAAACCGACACCACACCCGGGGACCCTAAACCCTCAAAATTCCTGTCCCACAGCTGAGAAAACCCTGCCTCTATTCTTGACTCTTTTAATGCTGAGTAATTCTCAGAAGCCCGATGCACCCATCCCTAAGGATTTACGGCTTAATTTGCAAGGTGGAAGGTGGATCGATCCGTAGCAAGTATTAAATCCTAATTACCAATCTGATTCTTCGAGGCCCCTTTCTACGATGTTACAAAACACGCATGCCCTCTTCTAATTACAGTGATTGAATGAATCAGGCGCGAACGCCCCCTGATCCCCAGGGCTCGAAACCCTGAACCCCCAAGGCTCCACAACCTGAACCCGAAGCCCACCCCCGCCTGCCCCAGAAAAGTTCTGTAAAGTTGGGTCCCTGTCCTTGTCAAAAGCGTGCCTACTCTTTCAATTTTTTTGGAACCTCAAAGAGACTGTATTTTAGAGAACGACCCACGTGCCAGGAGCTTCGAAAGAGCTTGTGGCTCGACGGCAGAAAACAGCTTTGGGGTTGGGGGTTTCAGGGTTTAGGTTCGAGTTTGGGCTCTGTGTCTCTGTGTAGCAGGCTTCTTTTTAAGCTTCTATCTTTGAGTGCATTATGTAGGTTCTATTCTAGAAGAGTTTGGGTTACCAGGGCTGGGGCGTAAGGTTTTGTTTTTCCTTTGACATGCTACGGCCTGGGGATGCTCGACTCGAGGGCCGGGCTTGGCAAGGTGCGCTTGAGGTGCTCAACTTTGAGCAGGAGGTCGTTCACTCCCAAAACCAGGGTGTTGCAGTGGGTTTAGTGTGTATGTCCCTTGCAAAAGGCGCGTTCCAAAAGCCGTTTTACTGATACTATATCTGTTTGTTCATGTGACCTTTGGCCGGCGAATTTCGGTGTTTGGGTCTTAGAACGTTTCAGGCTTTAGGCAGTAGTCTAAGGCTCCGTGGTGGCATGTTCAGGATTCGAGGGTCCGAGGGCTTTGCATTTAGAGCTGAGCTTTCAGGCTTTCAGCAGTCAGACTGTGGCTTGAACCCAAAGACCAAAGACTCCAATACCCCCTTAATCAAGGAACATCTATAGGGCTCCTTTAAGGGATCTATAGGTTAAGGGTTTGGGCTCTGTTTCGGTAAAGTTGTGATCAGCCGTAACACATGATCGTTTCCTAGTAGAGCAGGCAACCTTTAACGCTTTGGGGGTTCTTGAATCCTATAATAAACTCCCCAAGGTTCTCCTTTAGTTCCCCATGATACTGGACAAGTAGGTTTTATCCTTAATGGGGACCCCTACCCTATAATGGGGCTATATAATGGGTATACAATAGCTATATCAAGGGTATATACCTAGGGGTCCTTATTAAGGGTCCCTCCTTTTACCCTTGGAGGGTAAATGCTAGCTCACGCTACCTCACTGGTGCACCTAATTCCAGGCCGACAGGAAACGGATTTGTCAAGAGACCGCAGCCCCACAGAGCGCGAAAGTCCCGGTGTTCAGGGCTGTGGGTTGATGTCGGGCTAAAGTTTCGGCTTCCAACGAGGCCGCGCGAAGCCGCTAGTCTATTCAGTGGCACCTTTTTAGGTGCTTTTATGCTCTTGGCTTGAGGATTCTCAACCCAGCTGTCTTTAAAGCCCATGTTGCCTAAAGCCTTCTACACTCCTGAACCCCAAACCCGATAAACCCTAAACTCCCTAAACCATAAACCTGAACTAAATCCTTAAGCCCCACACCCCCTTAAGATCAAGTTCCCCAAACCCCAGATCCCATGTCGCAAACCCTCAAATCCGAATAGGCAGCGGAACTCCCAGCTTAGGGTTTTGGGGTTTATTGGGGTCCTAAACCCAAACCTTCGATTACGGAAAGGCAGCGAAACTCCCAGCGACATCGCCCCGGGCGCTGGCACGTCCTGTGCTGAGACGTGAGTGTTTGTAAGCAGCTCCCAGCACCTATACCCAGACCCCCGGGAGGATCTAGAAAGTAGATCCCCCAATTTGGGGCCCGATACTACTAACGGTACTTTATAGGAACCCCCATTAAGGGATCTACTTTTTGGATCCTCCCGGGGGTCTGGGTAGTGGGTCCTAGGTGCCCAATAACTTTTTAATGTAGGAAAATGCATTATGTTTTTAAGCTGTATTCGAGCAGCTTTCACTCCAAGGCCCACGGAACTCAGTAAGTAGGGGGTTTAGAGTCCTTCAAGAAGGGTTTAGGAGCTTAGGATTTGGGGTTTAGGGTTTAGGGCCAGGGCGCAGGGGACTTACTTAGTAAGTTGGGTTTTATTGGGATTATGAGGGCCCTAAGTGCGGTTATCCTAATTTAAGCAGAAGCAGAAGTCGGACACCCCTGGACAACCATACTTTAATACTTTTGGTAAATGTTCCTTAAAGGGGCCACTATGGAATACGCATCTGCGTTTTTGCCTGGTTACTTTGAAGTCCAGTTTAGAGTTTCCTCAGCGGCACTTGGAAAGCTTGCTTTTTTCGATGTTCGGCGTTTATCATCCCGAAGAAGTAGCCAACGTTATACGTTTTTGTAAGGGTGCCATTCGTGTCTGGGGTTTCGGATTTGGGACTCTAGGGTTTTGGTCATTATGCTTAAAGGCTCATGGGACTTAGTAAGTAAGGTTATAAGTAGTTTATAATTAGGATAACCCCACTTAGGGGACTTATAACCCCAATTATAAGCTACTTACTAAGTCCCATGATCCTTTAAGTACGGGCTATATAGTCGCTTCACGCGTACCTAAGAAGGGAAGGCGGTTGAGTCTTTTTGGTGAGCATATTCAGGACTCCTCAGGAGCGTTGGTTAGTAGTATAGTTACAGGCAGAAACTTGACAAGCGATGTTGATGGCTGCACTCCGCCAGTATTACTAGCCTCGTACGGAGTTTTGGTAATGTAGGAACCTGATTAAGAAACCCTGGGCCTATAACCCCCCAAAATAGTAGGGTTCATATAAGGAACCCTAATAAAGGAGGCCCAAGGTTCCTTAATCAGGTTCCTACATTAGTTTTGCCTGGGTTGATCCGATGAACTTTCTAGTCCACCTGCTTGGGTCAAGCTGCGCCGTGCCGGGCCCTAAAGCCTACCCCAAAATTACCCATAATTACTCACTTAGAGGATCATGGGACTTAGTATGTAGGTTATAAGTCGGGTCATAAGTCCCCTAAGTGGGGTTATCGAAATTATAACCTACTTATAACCTTACTGACTTACTAATTCCCATGAGCCTTTAAGTACACACTTCGGCACATGGACGAAACGCAAACCCAGGTGAGAAAGCAACCAATACCATCTAGTTGACCGACACGCAAACGTGTTGGGCCTTTTCTTCTGTACAGGGTTGCACGTGGCGTGGTGACATGGCTAGGGGTCCCAAACATTGCATTCAGACTCAGCCCCATGTAGACATCACAACAGCCCAGCACGAGCTCCAAAGCCTGTTCAGCGATGCCGGCCTGCGTTTGCATCACCGGGGCTTCCGGTTTCATCGCGTCGCACATCGTGCGGCAATGCCTGCAGCGGGGCTACCAGGCCCCAAAGTTCCTCCGGAGGAATGCCGGATGTGCTTGCAGTTGCTGCATGTGGCGTAGCACAGGAGATACGGACTAGTCCCTGATTGGATGCACGGCTAAAGCTCTTTCTGCACACTTGCACAGCATTGCTTGGCAAGATCTGAATGCAGCATTTGTCGGCTCAAGGCTCATCTGCCTCTTCGTAGCAAGCCGCCTGATTCACGTTCCGACATGGAAAATCACGAAGCCGGGCGTGCAGTCATCACTTGGCTCCGCGAGCATGACGAGGAAAAGATGATCGCGACCTTTGATAGGAACTTGGTGGTTAAGTTCGGGGTCGATGCAATGAAGAGATTCGTTGACAACGGGAGCAAGCACAAACACAGCATCCTGCATGTGCTGGCCAAAGAGGGAAAGGTCCTCGTGTTGAAACATTTAGTTCAGCGGTATGGCTTCGACATGGATGTTCAGCGTGCTAGTGACCGTTGCACGCCTTTGCACCTTGCAGCCTGGTATGGCAACCGGAATTTCGCACGAGCTTTACGCCAGTTAGGTGCAGACCCCAACATCCAGAACAGCTACGGAGAAGTGCCCGACGTTACGGCCGAGGTTGAGAAGCCAATTATGGTCCGTGTTCTGGGCGCAGCTTCCATCGAAGATATCTTGCAGGTCGTTGCAGAGGAGCTTGATCAGTTCAACCGGCTCGATGGCATTACTGCTTTTTATCAGATTGGCAACATGAGCTCCAACTACGACGCAGAATTCTGCAATTGGTCCACCAGAGGTCCAGCTGACACGATGATGTTCCTGAGAAGCCAACGGAACTACGTAAGTCTGTTGGGGTTTTGCAGAGACTCGCTTTGCACTTCATGGCGAGACGACAGCGTAACTCTTTGGCGGACAATGTTGAAGGCATTGGCAATGCTACCCGATCCAGACGTCATCATGAGTTTGTCCAACTGGTTAGGCGAGAACCCCATGCCGTACATGGAGATACCTGCCTCGGACCTTGCCGGAGTAGCATGGGGAATGGCCAAGATAAAGAATGGCGAGAGCATGTGGCGGGTTTGCCATGATCCCTTGGGCGATGCCCTAGCGCTAAAGCTGTGTGAACTGGCAGAGAGGCATCTGAGTTCTGCAGTTTGGGCTTTTGCAGTGGCAGGGAGCAAGGGGCAGCTTCGCCACTCGTCGTTCTTCGGATCAGTTGCAGCTCGAATCGCTTCACCGCATAGAGCCGACTTTGTTTCGCCGCAAGCATGCAGCATCTTGATGTGGTCGTTTGCGAAGATGGAGGAATGTACGAGCATCAACGGTGAAGCTTTCCAACGCCTTGCAACCGAAAGCATGCGCCTTATGCCAAATTTCCTCGATCAAAACGTCGCCAACATGGCGTGGGGCATGGCAAGACTGCACCTCAAGTACGAGCCTTTGCTTGCTGCTTTGATGAAACGGGCGGGTGAGACACTGTACAATGACGTGTACCGGCACCACGTGAGGATGTCCGATACGGTGAAAAAGCTGCATTGGTTCCAAATCTACACGGCATACATCTTCTGCAAGCAAGAATGCCCAGCAGCCCTCCAGGCCATAAGTGAGCGGCTTGCCGGGGACCTGGAGCTTATCCACTCCGGGGTCCGTACGGCAGAGGGTCTCTCCGAGGGTTCTGGCCTCGAGTCTATCGAAGCCCTGCGAGAGCTGGACATCATGATCAGCGAAATGGAGGCTTCCGAAGATAGGACATGAATTTTTTGTGGGGGCCTTGCAGTAGGGATGCCTTTATTTCAGGTTTCTACGCTGAGTTCGTTGATGTTCGTTGATTTTCTGAGTCTCGCAACATGGAGGCCGAGGTCTTGCCTGATGAGCCGATGCCGATCCCCGAAGACAGCATGGAAGCAGGCGTGTCTCTGCACCCGCAGGAAGAGGCGTCCAATCGCAACGCGCAGCGAGCAAGCGAACTTCTTGCACACGGGGCACCGGACCGAGAACTGCAGGTCGTCATTCTCAAGTTCGCCCGGAGTCCTGACGCATTTCGGAGCGCTTTACTGGAAGGCCCAGAACTTCGCGAGTGTCGTGACTCGCTGGAGGCGCGAGACGGATAGAAAGAGAGCGAGAGGCGAGAGAGAGAGAGAGAGAGAGGGAAAGATAGACAAAGAGAGAACAACCGAGAAAAAGAAACAAAAAGAAAGAGGTGGAGAGAGAAGGGATTGCTAGAACCGCAAACTCGAAAGCCTTGTCCGCAATACAACTTGAGTTCTTAGGGTCATTCTCCTTGCCAGGCAGCAGGCTTTCCTGTGGTGCTTGATTCAGCTGCCAAGATCTTCGTAAAGCCCCTGCACTACTTGGCCGTTGTTGAAGCCATCAGCACCACGCGCCTTTATTCATCTCACGTGATCGTGGAAGAGGAGCTTGAAAGCTTGGTCCGGACTGCAATCTCATCGACTCGCAGCAATTATCGCGTCGTTACACGTGGCAGGGTCGCACTGCAGGCAGGGCAACCAAGGACTTGGGATGAGATCTCTGAGCACATGAGTTTTCGAATCGAGAGAACATTCATCACAGTGCGGATCCCAGCCGACTCCCTTGTTTCGGAGTCCATGCGTCGCGGAACGCAGTCGGCGTAGGCCCGCACGGTCGTGGACGAATGCCATCGCTGCGACTTGCAAGTGTGATTGTCACCGCGGTGCACTCGTCAGTGCTATGCGATATGGTCGGCTGTTCAAAACAGTTTAAATCTGCAAGCACCCTGGCTTGCCTCATTCAGGCCTGCTCAGACCATTAGATGTTGACTTGCAAGCATGCTTGCCTACATTTGCAAGGTTTGAGCTCGCCGTCTTTTCGTGAACTTGCTGTAGTTAGAGCTCGTGCATAGCATAGCAGCCTACTTGCAGATGAATAAATGCCTCAGTGCACACGAACAAATCGTAGATAAGTGAGCGAAACACTTGTGCAGCCAAGCGATGTTGTAAGCAAACACACAGGCGACTATCTAAACCCTAAAAGCCCTAAACCCCGTAAGCTCGCTCTAAACTTGCATGTTCCTGCCCCAAGGGCTTGGTGCAGGTGCTTCCACGTGGCTTGCAAGCGTGCTTGCCATGGTGGAAGCCTTCTGCATATAGTGCTGCTGTCGACCTTGTATAGCTCAGCTGCACTGCCCTGTTGTGCTGCCATAGACTCATGGTACGAAAAAACTGCGACTTGATTGCTGCCATGAGAGACGTGAGTCATTCTTCTGCTGTCCGTTGCCTTGACGTCCACACGCTACACACTACATTGTACCGAAATCGAGCCACCACTTCAAGCTACTGATCATCCCAAACCGAGCACCTGACAGTCTGACAGGTGCATGGAACGGTGCGCGACCCAAACAAACATGAGGCTGTGGCACACCTGCGCGTAACTCGACATTGATAGTAGATGGGATGCCACTGATTGATCGCAACATTGCCGAAGGAGTTGGACTTAACGTTTGGTTTGCAGATTGCAGGCTTGGAGGGTGTGCTAGTCGTAGAAGCAGAAGGTTCAGTCATTTTCAATAGCAATAGGTGTAGAAGCGGTAGAAGTGTGATGGCGCAGTGAAAGTGTTAGTCGCTCTGCAGCGGTAGTGTCAGTACGAGTGGCGAAACCACATGGGACAGTTGGCACTTCGGACGCGGTTTCGACTCTTACGAAGTCTCTACTATAGGGGTCGGGGTGACCACCTCATCAATAGCTCCCACTTGCAGTGCGCATACAAGGATACTTCCGTTGTGAATATGTTCCAACACCTTCCAGGGCCCTAGATTTCACCCGGCGCGATTTCTAGGTGTTACCGACTACTGAGATTCGCCAGTCGAGGAGCTGATGGAAACTACAATTGGCATTCACGCGTTGCTTTGGTTTCAATTCGCGTTGTGGTTCGAAGAAAACAGCACAGCAGGCTTTAGGGCTCGGGGTCTTAGGGTCCCGGGCTGAAGGCTCCAGCATGTCGGGCTTAGAGCTTTAAGGCTTAGGCTGACTTGTAATCATTCAACTTCATCAGTCTGGGGGTAGAGGCTTTGACGTTGTGCTTCGAGTTTAGCGGCGCGTGGTGCCGTTGCCGGTCTTGCTAGCGTGTATACCGCCTGCACCAGTTGCATCAAGGTTTGGATTAACATCAAGCTTGAAGTCTAAATCAAAAGGACGATACCTAGACCCCGCAACTACCCTCTAACATGCCCCAAATACCCGCTCTTAAGGGCCATGAGGCCGTGGGGGCTCCTGGTACTTGTACTTTTGACGTCGTTCCTCCATCTGTATCATGCTGCACGACCGCCTGAAACCCCGCAAAAGCCGGCCAAATCCTAAAACCCAACCGACGAATCCCAGAGCCTCCAATGTCCCTTGATTCAGCAATATATTCCTTAAATCATATTAGGGGTCCTACCATAATTTAAACGTATATTCCTTAAATGATAGTGGGATCCCTAATATGATTTAAGGAATATTCCTTAACTAAAGGATATTGGAGTCTCTGGGAATTCCTCGATTCTCAAGCTCTCCAGCCCTAGGCACTGGAGGGAGCCGCAGATCGTTTGCGCCTCTTCCCAGTGTCCCAGCTGTCTCTAAAGTGTCCCGACAGAGCCCAATAGCCCTGAATTAGGAAATATGGCTTAAGTATGCTTAAAATCATACTGTTTATCACGCCCCTCATGATTTAAGGTATAGTCCTTGATTCAGGGGCACTGGGCACTTTGCTTCTTCCCTGAGTGTTCGCTAGTTCTGGAGTTCAGAAGTTTAGGGTTTCGAGTTCAGGATCAGGGCATCGTCGTTTTGGGGTTGGTAAATCGCAAACCTTAAAGCCTACCTTAGCCTACCAAAACCTACTTTTTTGTAGGGCCCCTATAATCTCCATATTAGGGTATATGTTAAGAACCTACAAAAAGGTAGGGTGGTAGGTTAAGGTAGATTTTGGGATCGAGAGGGATCTTCGGCATGGCACACGACGATGAAACTGAAGCAGGGCGTTCGGGTTTAGGGTTTAGGGTTTAAGGGTGTGTCACAGTGCCACGGCGCGCCCCACCCATGGAGTGGTCGTGGGTCGCGCCGTCTTCGTAACGTGGAACCCACCCACAACCACCCGAAGCAGGACTAGAACGGGTTTTGTGTTCTGCTTCTTCTTATTCGAGCGCTGCACTAGCCGAAAAGACGTTGCAATGTTGCGGAACGTCAAAGGGACATCCGAGTGATGTAGTCACAAAATAGCAGCGACGCCCTCGCTCGTCCTCGCCGGCCGCCAGAGTCGTCCGTCAGCCGTCGTCAGAGTCGTCCGTCAGGGCCCAGTGCCAGGCCTCCAGAAGTGGTCTGCAGCCGTCCGCTGTCCGTGCCAGTCCGGCCAAGAGTGCTGATCATCCAGGGTTTTTTCGCCCGGCAGTCCGTGCCAGAATTGTCCAGCTTTGCCGGCAGACTCGCACTCCAAGCTCCTTGCCAGAGTCAGCCACTGTCCCCAAGCTCTTTCTAGGACGTCCCGTCCCCGTCAAACTATAGTCGTCAGCCGCCAGAGACGTGAAGCGGACATTTCCGCCTGGCCACGGCACTGTGACACACCCTGTACAGTGACGGAGCTAAGTCGCATCATGCTTGTTGGATCCCAGCCCACCTTGCGGGGAAGCACCCGGGGGGTTGCATCACCGGGCGTCTACTTGTGGATACGTGATTATGTTGATTCGGGAATATTGAGAATTGAGTGCTGAAGCTGAATTTACAGCAATTTACTTGCAGATTCGTTCTCTCTGTGTTACTTGGTGCTTGCTGCGTGCTTGCAAAATCGAGCGTCTACATGGGGAACGGCTGGTTTTTGTTTGCTGTTTGATTCGATGTCGCTGATGTATTTCTGGAGCGGGCGCTTGCTAAAGCGAGCGTCTACATAGGGAATGGCTGGTTTTGATGTGCTGTCCGCTGCGATGCCACTGATGTGTTTCTGGAGCGGGTGCTTGCAAAATCGAGCGTCTACATGGGCAACGGCTGGTTTTCATGGGCTGATTGCTGCAAAGCTCTTTTTGGAGGAGCTGGGTCCCCGCAGGGTCACCCCGCTGTCCCCGCCAGGGTCGCTTGGTCAGGGTCGCCGTCCCCGCCAAGGTTCCTTACGCCGTCCTTGCCAGGGTCGTCCGCCGTCCCCCCCACCATCGCCCGCCGTCCCCGCCAGGGTCGTCCGCCGTCCTCCAGAATCGTCTGCCAAGCTGTTTTTGGCCTTTTTAGTTGCTGTCAAAGCCAAGTGCCCGCCAGAGTGTCCGCCGTCCCCGTTAGGGTTGCCCGCCGTCCCCGCCAGGGTCGTACGTCTGCCAAAAGTCATCGCCAAGTCCCCACCAGAGTTGTCCGCCGTCCCCGCAGGGTCATTGGCGTCCCGTCCGCCATCCCCTCCAGAGTCGTCTGCCGGCTTTTTCAGTCCCTGTCAGAGTCGCCAAGTCCCCGCCAGAGTCGTCCGCCGTCCCCGCCAGGGTCGCCCAGGGTCGTCCGCCGTCCCCCTCCAAATTCGTCTGCCAAGCTGTTTTTGGCCTTTTTAGTTGCTGTCACAGCAGAGTCGTCCGCCATCCCCGCCACAATCCCCGCCAAAGTCGTCCGTCCACCAAGTCCCGGCCAGGGTCGGCAGCCGTCCCCGCCAGGGGGTTGCCATCCCCGCCATGGTCGCTCGTCAAGCTCTTTCTACCAGGTCCCGTCCTCGCCAGGGTTCTCGTGCTGGGAGATAAGGCGCCATCCCCTCCAGAGTCGTCTGCCAAGCTCTTTTTCAATCCCTGTCAGAGTCGCCAAGTCCCCGCCAGAGTCGTCCGCCGTCCCCGCCAGGGTCGCCCGCCGTCCCCGCCAGGGTCGTCCGCCGTCCTCCTCCACAGTCGTCTGCCAAGCTGTTTTTGGCCCTTTTGCTGTCACAGTAGAGTCGTCCGCCGTCCTCGCCAGGGTTGCCCGCCGTCCCCGCCAGGGTCGCGCGCCGTCCCGCCAAAGTCGTCCGTTCAGTACCAGCACGATCTGTTCGATACCATGCGTGTCGACGACTCTTGTTATAGCGACGTCCGCTGTATAGTGACGATTGGGGGGCTTTGTTGTGCCAGCACTTCCTTGAGCCAGGGGAACACTTACTTGAGGCAACACAAACAAACTCTCTCTCTCCCTCGCACTCCAAGTTGAAACTCTCGATCTCCCTCGCACTCCAAGTTGAAACTCGTAATTTATCTATATGTCCGCACTTGCTTGTTGTTGCAAACCCTGACAATTAGGGGTTGCTCGTGGGGGCTTCGTGTTGCTCCTGTTCTGCAACAGAGTTAATATACATATACATATATATATACACCTAGATATATATATATATATATGTATATTAACTCTGTTGCAGAACAGACTATATATGTTCAGTCTATTTCCGGCAAGTCCAAAGTTTAAGCCCTTCAATTCGGGTCGTTTTGTTCGAAGTTCTCGGGTTTTGTTAGGGGCTCAAGCTGAAAGACTCAGATCGACTTTTCTTCACCCACTCGCAGAGCGAAGTGGCAGTGAGAACTGCAGTGACCACTTCAAAAGCACGTGTCTGCTCACGTGATTCGGGTGGCTAGCCACTGCCAGCTGCTTTACACGCCTCACTGCATCCTCACCCATATAGTTCGCACTATAGCGAGGGTTGCATCTGTACTCGCCAATAAAGTCAATCACCTCGTGCTCCAGCATATGTTGCTTGGGTCGCACCTTCCAGCGAGGGATTCCATTGGCCAGGGCCATTGAAGCCAATCGATCGTAAGAGGCCCGGTACAGATAGTAAGCAGACTCGCAAAAGCGGCATTGATCTTCAGTGAAGTAACGGCCATTCTCCATCTGGATCTGCTCCAATTGCATAAGGCCAGTCACCACACCGAAAATGAGCCTCGGATTTAAGTTCGGGTATCGGTCAAGATATTCCGGTATCTGTTCAGGGTATGGGGATTAGAACCACTCCCAAAAACTACTGGTTATAGTAGAGGTCACAGTTTATAGTTTCTGTGAGCTGAAAAGCAAGACGTGGAACCCCAGATATTATTCAATAGCAGGCTGGGGCACTGCAGATGCTCAGGCCGCTCAGGCTCAGCCATGCCCAGTAGCAGGCTTTCCATCAGAAAATGCAACCAAAACACCATATATTTGGATGCAGCAGCTCGCAGGATCTTTTGAGATACGGTAGCATAATCACCTTTCAAGACATCGTTTGTAAAGAGCTTGCGGTCGGCTCTGTCATTGATGCCCCATCGTTGACAATAGCTTTTGTAACTTCGCCATCCCTGCTCAAGTCGACTATCACGGGAGGAGCCACTCCAGGGAAAAGTTGTATCCGAGAGGTCTAGCAGCATGGATGTCACCACATCAACTAAGCAAGCCAAGTGGACGATGTGCATGACGTCGGGAAGAATACCTTAATGCTGCCAACATTAATGGGATCACTCCGGGTTTACATGGGGGTTTTCAAGGTTTAGACTTTGTCTATATGTCGAGAGTTTTAAAACAGTTGGACTTTGCAAATCACTTCCTGGCAAGAGTCGCCAGGGGCAGTAGTTCCCACTCAGCCCAGCGAAGGGAGACCACCCGTGGATCCGGATGAAATCGTCATTTCCAGAACACAGCCTCGGTCATCATTGAACTGTATATACAAGGCCTACATATATGCTGTAGATCAGAAGAGCTTTATTCTGCGGATCGATGATGGCGAGCTGCGTGCTGCGATGGCGGGCTGCTCGACCAAAGTTTGTGAACAAGAGTTCGGGATCATTTGGCTCCGGGTCGTCGCTACGAGGATATTTCAGAATCCATTGCAATGCCTGCAAGGAGGAGAAACCAGAAGCCTTTAAAAATTGATGGTATTTCCCAAACCCTAGACCATATATATAGCCTTAAACCCGAAACCCTGAACCCTTCGGTTCAGATCCTGCCTCACAGTAGAAGCAAGTCATCTTGCGAGTGTAGTTTCCTCAGATTGGTCGAAGCAAGCACCACTAAATTGCAAGCATCGAGTTATAACTAACCTCCAAGCCAGCCATTGCTATACAGATGAGAGGCTTTGCAACCCAAAACATTTGCTGATGAACTCTTGGTCCATCTGGAAAGCATCCAAAACAACAGTGTACTCCCCACAGATGCGGCGGCCGGCTTTTGCCCTTTGCGAGCCCTGTAGCTCTTCGCCATCCATACCTTCTGAAGGATATATTCCCTGACCTTGGCTTGGTATTTCCTTTATAAGGGAAATTTAGGGTTGAGGGTTTAGGGTATAATTAGAAATTTATTATAAGTTCTAATTAGCATGGGCCCAGAAATCAGAAACAAGCAAACTCCTTCGTTAGGACCGATCGAGCCGCTGAGAACCTCCAGAGACCAGGCGATGGTCTTCATAATCAGCCGCCTTGCTTCATTGGTGCATTTTCCAGACATACAGCTCAGCCTCGGATGAATCTTCAAGCGAAGCTTCGAAAGCTTAGCAAGTGAACTAGATGCGAAACACCTTGCATCCAGAGAACAAGAAGCGGGTGCTCATGCACGAAGATTCCTCTCCCAGCACGGACTGCAGAAGGAATATTTCGAAGTTTTGAGAACCTGGAGCCATCGTGTCTCCAGCATGGAAATCAAATGCTAGCTTCCCCAAGGCACTCTCATATAATTGCAGCAAGTTTCGATAGCTTTCAGCTCCGTCTCCGTAGACTCGTACAGGTACGATGAAATCTTCTGCATCCCAGAGGGCCTCAACACATAGCACAACCCGGAAGCACGAGACAAAGTTAAGAAGCTGAGCAGCTGGGTGATTGAACCACCAATGCGAAGAGAACATTCTCGAGTGTTGGCAATATTCTCGAATCTCCTGCATCGGCAAGAACAGACATGATTCAGGTATAGCACATGATGATACATTCGGCTGGTAGCATGCCCAAAAAATCGTTGCGTGCAGATGGCCTCTGGTGTCCCAAAGAGCTTGTGAAACCGCTGTCGATCGAAGTCGTAGATAGAGCCCATGACTTCGTGAGGCAGGAACATGTAATGTTCATACCAGCCATGCGTAGCATCACCGGCTGCATCCAAATTAACCTCATTTGATTTGTTTAGAGTTTAGGGTTTCGGGGGGAAACAAGACTAGTGCAACCAAAACCAAGGCCCAAACGTAGGGAACCCAAAGCTTGTGTGGTGTCGGGAGAACTTTTCCTCAGGCAAGAGCAAACCGCAGCAACCAGGCATAAAAGGTGGTTTCAGGTTGAGGGATTATTAGTTGCAAACAAGTCTCGCCACGGTTGTTTCAGAGACCATGCTTCCAGGACGGGGACATGTCCCCATTGTGTCTTCTTGGCCTCTAGCCTTCTCGCTAGATCTAGCAGATCAGGCCTCGGTGGGAGTTGTGGAATTGTGGAATGATCATGATTGAGCCACCAGCATGCAGTCCAAGACACGGCACCAGAACTTGTGGTAGTTCAAGCAAACGACCTCGTGCTGTGCTGTAAAGGATTATATGAATATGGGCCATCCACTATCTCGCACGGCGAACACTTTTAGGCTGCGGGCTGCTAGCTTTGAGGAGGTCCTTCGTAGCGACCTGCTAGAACTAAGACGGCCTCTTCTGCCAGTTGCACACATAGCACACTGATGTTCATATGCATCCGGGGCACATCTCCGGTAGATATGTGATGCAAAACATCGTCAACTGACTCCTGAATGTATCCTGTGATCCATTGCCCGTCCGAGGAAGAGGCCGGTGCCGACATCGACACACGACTCTGGACAGAAGACGGCGTAGTTGTTGTAAGGTTTCGGGCAAAACAGTTTGTGTGGATTTAGACTTTCGGCTTCGGGCTCCATATTAAAGAGTTGGGATATAAAGGGGTTTGGTTTTCTATGCGTGGGTGATGGGGGTTCGGTCTTTGGATTTTCCGGCGTAGGGCTAGCTATAGGGCCTCGGCTTTAAGCTTATAGAGCCTCACACATGCAAGAGGAACTTAAGCTTTCGGCTTCAAGGCTTTGCATATATGTTTAGGCAAACCATTCAGACTGTGTACATGTACACTAACTCGGCTACTAAGCTTTTGCTAGGGTTCCATGGGGACTTCAGGCTAAAAAGAACAGCTTCAACCTTTGTATCTCGAATCACAGCAGCCTCAGCAGCTTGAGGGCTTGCGAGCAGGCACAATGCCATCATTCAAGAGATCGCAACGGTTTGCATTGAACAGAGGCAATGTAGAAAGCTCTGGAGGCTGCTGACATCATTTTGCACCCCGAGCCACTCTTCCACACACGTGTGAAATGCTACCGGCAATCCCTTAAAGACTGCATCTATAGCAGGCTGCATGCAGGACACCCCGTACACAGGCTAAGGAGTCTACCCGAATAAAGGGATTGAGCCAAATGAGAACTATAGGACATATATGACACCTGCAAACCCACTCCAGCAGTCCGGTGGATCGCCACCCCAACCGAGGCACTTGTGCTCGCTGCACGGTCGTGCCGTCTGCGTGGATCAGGCATCTTGCCATTCAGCATTTTCCTCATCCTCGGCCCATTCTTCACCATCGATATCATCATCATCATCATCATCACACTGCCCTGCTTCCTTTGGCCACTCCTCGGGATCGTTGTTCAAGGTGGCCTCCGTCTTGAGCCGTTTTAGCTCTTCCTTTTCTTGCTCCTTTTCGATCTTTCTTTTTGCAGCAGCTTTGCCTCATAAGATAGATTTGGGGGGCCACAACAAGTACATGTGCACAGTGCACACGACTATTGCGAAGCTAAGACACGTCGCTCGTGGGCCACGAATACACTTTCGGCATGGCTCACATCAGTCGCATATTCCTGGCGGGAGCAGAAGGTATAAACCCATCTAGGGTCGTACAGGGTTTGGGGTCTGTAAGGGGTTATCAGATTTAAGGTGATTGCAATAGCCCAGTTGCAAAAAGGTGGCTTCAGGCTTCCAAGTTTAGGGTTAAGGGGTCTAGGGTTTGGGCTTTGGGCCATTCAAGACCCTTCATATAAACCCTATAAGCCAGACCCTTTAACAGATCCTTGTTGACACCCCGGGGCTTGCACCTTGAGAACGTGGGAAAAGCTCTCAAGATACTCCTTGGCGTAGGACAGCGGCTCCGTGGAGAACAGCCTGCGATTGCACCTGGGAAAGCTGCCCGAACATCGAGCCCATTTGGGCCTTGACTACAAGTAGAGTGGGGTTCCGAGGTATGTTTTAGAAGCTGCTCCCACCTTGTATATAGTGGTATAATAGGAATATGATAGGGCCCTCCTTATAGTCACTATTACAGGGTGGGGGCAGCTTCTAAGGTATGGTAGAATATTGTAATATCGACGACATCTAGTGAGGTATCCTAGAGTAGAAGCCAGAAAGTTGGAACATGGATTTAGGAGGATTTGTGCTAGGATCCCGTATACTTTACTTTAGGGGCATGAGGATACTAATGTTCCAACTTTCTGGCTTCTACCATAGGGCGGTCCTATAATTATATACCCTGTACTATAGCCTTGTAATCTACAACCTCAAAACACCCAGCGAAACCATTCCGTTAACATGTTGTAACGGGGAGCTCTGCAAGGATCTTGTAGCACTCTTCGTTGACTTCGCCCATATGCTTGATATCCGCCTGATCAATGTAACTCTCTGCACGTGTGAACAAGAACGAAACGGTTAGCTCATATATGTACACACACATACAAACGGCCTCTTGCCGTTTCATCCCCGTGCTCTTCAAGTTGGTAGCCGTCGTCGTGGCTTTATCGGCAAGACTTCGCAGCCTGAATCCATAGTTCCACTGGACCACACGATTGCACAGTCATACCATTAATGCAACCGAAAATCTGCCCGAGGTTTTTTTCGAACTCCTTCCTTTCTTTCTCTTCTGGCGTTTGTTCCTCGCTGTTGCACAGAACTGCAGAGAGAGGGAGAGAGAGAAGAAAGAGAGAGAGAGAGAGAGAGAGAGAGAGAGAGAGAGAGAGAGAGAGAGAGAGAGAGAGAGAGAGAGAGAGAGAGAGAGAGAAGAGAGAGATATCAAAGAGAGAGTGAGAGAGAGAACTAGAGAGAAACAAGGGGTCCTTAACAGACTTTCCTTTGCCGTTTTTTCCCTTGCCTTTGGACGACCCCTTTGGTCCACCTCCCTTTCCTTTGCTGCCTCCCTCTAGGTTGTCCCCATAGTCCTTGCTCACGAAACCAGCTGCCTTGCTGTCCAGAGCCTCAGCAAAGGCAGCACGAGCAGCCTTGTTGGCCGGCACTTTGGCGACTGCGGATGTCTTGGTGCCAATCTCCTTCTTGTTGGCACCTGGGCTTCATACGACTTGTCGGGATTGTATTTTGGCAGGGTCTTCGGGTTGAGGTTTAGGGGATAGGCCATAATATATATATATATATATATATCAGGGGACAGGCCTTTAAGGGTTCAGTCTTGAAGCCAAAGGGCTGGTGTCCTTGAAGTCACGAAACACCGTGTAGATCCGCATCTCGGGATTCTTGCTGTCCTAGGCCACGGTTTATTATAGGGCTTGGGGTTTAGAGGCTTTAGGGTTTGGGGTTTAGAATGGACACGAAAGGGCAGGCCTGCGGGTGCGGGGTTCCTCGTTGCTTTGCCACCACTTGTTCTTCCAAGAACTTCTTCTCGACATCTGTGCTGTAAAGCTTGCGAAGCTCACAAAGCGGAAGAGAAATCCAATTCTCTTTGTTCGTCACCGTATCTTTCCTCAGTTTGAATATTCCCCGGCTACCCTACATGCAACATACACATGCGAATTGCAGCTGGTTGTCTCCACATAGAAGGTTTCAACTTCGACGTCGTTCATGTCTTTGTGAACCAGGAAAGCTTTCAAAAAGTTAAACCTCAGTAGCACCGTGAATTTGCTATAGAAGGGGTGAGTATAGTGGACGGCGTTGTGTTATGTAAGGCCGGCACTTCTCGGTCGGATCCTTGGTCGCTTTCCACTTTTCGAGAAGACCGGGTTTGAGTCCTGGCACAGATCGATAGTCGGGGTCTTTCGGGATAAGAGTTGGGCTGTGTATAGTGGCGGTCCTTCACTACACTCGAATCGCCTTCTCATGGCCTCGTTGAGCCGCTTCCTCGTTTTCAAATCCAACTGACCGGGCTCAGTCATGTTCAGAATCTGCTCGATTTGTTCCTTCGGCAGTGATCGCACCTTACAAGCAGTAGCATGCAAGAAGAAGCCCAAGGATCAGGCTTCATGACCTCGACATATGCGTGAACTGGTGCGGCTTCGTAGCAGCTGGTGAGAGATTTGTCTGCGATCCATCAGCAGGCCTTAGACATTTCGGGAGAGGAGGGTTCTAGTGTTCGGGGTTCGGGAGAAAGTTGTTTAGGACTTGCTATTTGGGAGTTTAAGGTTTTAATTAGGCATAGCGGACATGCAAAAACTCAGTTAGGTCTGCTGGGTGTGTTTGTCCTGCAACCACGGGGCTTCAGACTGGGTTGTTTCTCATAACATCATCATAGCTTGGAAACCCTCCGGCACTCTATATTAACCCGACTAGGTAAACCCTAAATCCTGAGACCCTAATTTAAAACCCTACAGCCCAAACCCTACACCCCAAAGCCGTACCCAAAGGTGGCATTTATCTGGAGCTTAAATGCAGGCTAAGGCACTTCGAACCAGAGTTCTCCAGCATTGATTCTGGGCCAGGAGATCCCTGAATGCCTTAGCTGATGATACAGATAAAGGACCACATCATTCCTACTATATACTCACACATGGCCATGTGCGGGTGTGTTGCTGCCGGAAGCATCATCTGCCCAAGTAAGCTTTCTTTTGACACCATGAGCTGGTGTCTCCAACTTTTCTTCAGCCCCTTTTCCCTCCGGTGTGGCTTCGTCTGTGGCCTCGGGTACTCCTGAACCTTTGGACGGCGACTTGGTTTTTCCCTTTCCCTTCTTGGCTTCTCCTGTGGCTTCCTCCTTTCCGGCACCTTTCGTGGGCGACTTGCCCTTTCCTTTTCCCTTCTCTGTGGCTTCTTCTCCTGCTTCCTCCTTTCCGGCACCTTCTTCTCCTGCTTCCTCCTTTCCGGCACCTTCTTCTCCTGCTTCCTCCTTTCCGGCACCTTTCGTCGGCGACTTGCCCTTTCCTTTTCCCTTCTCTGCCGCTTCTCCTGTGGCTTCCTCCTCCTTTCCGGCACCTTTCGTCGGCGACTTGGTCTTTCCTTTTCCCTTCTGCGTGGCTTCTCCTGTGGCTTCCTCCTTTCCGGCACCTTTCGTCGGCGACTTGGTCTTTCCTTTTCCCTTCTGCGTGGCTTCTCCTGTGGCTTCCTCCTGTCCTGAACCTTTCGTCGGCGACTTGGTCTTTCCTTTTCCCTTCTGTGCGGCTTCTCCTGTGGCCTCCTTTCCTGAACCTTTCGTGGGCGACTTGCCCTTTCCTTTTCCCTTCTCTGCGGCTTCTCCTGTGGCTTCCTCCTGTCCTGAACCTTTCGTGGGCGACTTGCCCTTTCCTTTTCCCTTCTCTGCGGCTTCTCCTGTGGCTTCCTCCTGTCCTGAACCCTTCGTCGGCGACTTGGTCTTTCCTTTTCCCTTCTGCGTGGCTTCTCCTGTGGCCTCCTTTCCTGAACCTTTCGTCGGCGACTTGGTCTTTCCTTTTCCCTTCTGCGTGGCTTCTCCTGTGGCCTCCTTTCCTGAACCTTTCGTCGGCGACTTGGTCTTTCCTTTTCCCTTCTCTGCGGCTTCTCCTGTGGCCTCCTTTCCTGAACCTTTCGTGGGCGACTTGCCCTTTCCTTTTCCCTTCTCTGTGGCTTCCTCCTGTCCTGAACCTTTCGTCGGCGACTTGGTCTTTCCTTTTCCCTTCTGCGTGGCTTCTCCTGTGGCTTCCTCCTGTCCTGAACCCTTCGTCGGCGACTTGCCCTTTCCTTTTCCCTTCTGCGTGGCTTCTCCTGTGGCCTCCTTTCCTGAACCTTTCGTGGGCGACTTGCCCTTTCCTTTTCCCTTCTCGGCTTGTCCTGTGGCCTCCTTTCCTGAACCTTTCGTGAGCGACTTGCCCTTTCCTTTCTCGGCTTCTTCTGCGGCGGCCTTTCCTGAACCTTTGGTCTGCGACTTGCCCTTCGCTGTTCCTTTCTCTGCTGCTTCTGCTTTCCCGGAACCTTTTGTTTTTCCTTTCTCGTGCCTTTCCCGGATTCCTGCCGATTTTAATATAGGAGGCACAGATCATTATGTGTGCACGAACACCTTTGCAGTATACACTCCCCACCTTGAAATCCTCTTCAGTGTAGTAACCTCCAGCCCCGTTTAAGCTCGTACCCGACACTACTTTGCCAGCGTGAGTCCAACTATTGGGGCCAGTGCTCTGCCACATGTCCACAAGCCGGCCCTCCGTGGAGGGCCCACAACCAGCAGGGGTGGCTCTCTTAGGGGCCATGCTGCTAAGTGCCCGCTGCTTGATCCCGATCTGTAGCATAACACACGATACTGCAGGCGATGCAAGCGGGCAGTGCGGCATCCGAATCGCGAATCTCGGACTGCATATTTCTTGATCTAGCAGGTACACGGTGATACACGGTCCAACTGTGGTCTATGGTAACGAGTACACGCAGATACACGGTGATACACGGTTGGCTGTTTATTATATAAATTATTATTATCGATTCTATAATTTTAATCACAGAACACACCGTGTACAACATCATGTGTATGCCGACAAATCCACAGCGAAGCAGACCTATAGCTGCAATCTCCAGGAGGCTTGTAGCTCCCAATTAATAAAATCGGATCTCCATCAGATCTCCATCATACCAGAATCATCATATAACCTGAGAGTCCGTAGCGGCAGAGCATATATGGCATGCATCTAACAATCGACCCCAAATCCCAAAGACCATCAACCCTATAGCTGCAGTCTCCAAGAGGCGTGTAGCTCCCAATCAATATGGTCTCCAGCAGATCTCCATCATACCAGTATCATCATAACCTGCGAGTGCATAGCGGCAGAGCATGGAACTGTTCCAAGCTGACTTATAAACCCTAACCCTCAACCCGAAGACCTACACCCGACATTTCCAGAAACCGAAGACTGTTGCCCCTGATCTTGCATGACCTCGCGGCATAAAGCCTGAATCGTACCTTGAACCATTCCCATTATAACCCCCATCGATCTATAGGCACTTGTGCAACTAGCCTATATATGTAGCAGCTAGGCAATGTTGCAACTTACAATGGTTCCAAGCTGACAATCGCCGAGCCGTGTTATACTTCCGCCTTAAAAGTCTGGTTCCCAAAAGAAGAACTAAATCTCGAGCCTGAGCTTCGAAGCTACCGCCTTCTCCGCCACTAGGGGCATGAATATAGTTCTCGAAATCACAATCTACAGGAGGCACACTTACATCCCGATGATCGCGACCAAATCACAACATGCGAAAGATTCAAAACTAGTCGTCTTAGCATTCTTCACAGATTGCACCGCCGCACATGCCAGATCATGCTCCAGCATGCTCGTTCTGGATGCTGCACCAGGCTGAGCTTGATCTCAAATTTCAAGATCAGATCCTGGTATTCCTATGTAGCTCAATCTTATAGCCCTATGGCTTTTGGGTTGAATGTAGGGATACCCTACAGATGGGGTAGGAAATAATTACGGTTAGGGGTAAATACATCGAAGCCAGAAAACCTAGACCCAAAACCCACTGGGCTTTACTCCTCAACACGACAATGTAATGCACTCCATCATGGTCCTCGGATCTTGCTAACCCGAATCCTGAAAACATTGAAATTTGAAGCCAGAGCACCAATACCAAAGCCAGGTCCCATCCAGCCCTGTAACCCTAAACCCGAAACCCACTGGGCTTTTAGCCTGAGAATCTCAGAAGCCAGCAATAATCCATCATGATCCTCGGGTCTTCAGATCCTATGGGAATGAGAAAAGCTACAAAACCACAAGCCTCAAAACATCGAAACTTGAGGCACAAGCACCGGTACGAAAGCCAGGTTTCCAAATCCTGTGACCCAAAACCCAAAACCCACTGGGCTTTGTTCTCTCAAACCCAGCTACAGTATTGGAACTGCACCATGGATGGCAGAGCTTCAATATCGGGGAGACAGGTGGGTTTGTGCGAAGTAGGAGGAAAAGCCCCAAAAATCCAAACCCAAAACCTTAAACCCTAAGACCTTAAACCCCAAAACAAACCTTAAACCCTAAAGCCTTAAAAACTAAACCCTAAACTAGAGTCCTTAACCCTAAGCAAGCCGGCCTAGCCGAGGAAGAACGAAATCTCTCGATCGACACCAGCTTCAAGCTGCGTGGCCTTGTCGAAACCGCTAAGAAGAGAAGGGCCGATGGTACAGGTGTTCAGGGCTAGGGTTTAAGGATACAGGCCTGGGGTATTGGGTCTAGGGTTTTGATGATGCATATGCATCTACAACACGATGGGCTTAAGGCCAACATTACAGCACCCAGCTCAGTCGCACTTAATATTGACATGACTTATTTCCTGCTGTCTGCTTGCTGTCTAGTCACAACACAGGGGAGGCCCAGTGCTATAGAGACATCTGCATTCTGCAAAGGCTCAGTCCATTGATTCTAAACAGAGGTCCGTCTCCTGTGGACCATCCCCCAGGACATCATCAGTAGCTCGGGCAGAAATAATAATGGAATCTACCTTCTCATGGAGGTCCACTAGTGCTTCCAACATCTCGGCTTCCAAACGATGCACCCTGGAGCTGAGCAAATCGAACTCGTGCTGGAGCCTGTTAAGATGGTCAATAGCCTCAGTGCATGCTTTGAAGAGACCTTCGAAGCGAGGATCAGATGAGGCCAGCGACATCGTGATTTTGGGGATGAACACACTGCATGCTGGCATGCTTCTACAATGTGCATTGTCTTAGTATCAATCTTTTCCTTCGTGTTGGAACCATGAACATTGCAGCAATCGACTCTTTACTTTCTCAAGGGAGCAAGCCAACAAAACAGGCGGAGCCACCAAGACATGGAACTGCTACCCTTACTTGCCAAAGCAGGGTTAGGGGTTGGGGTTTGGGGTTTAGGGTTGGGGTTTGGGCTCCAGGGTCAGGGTTTAGGGGGTCTAGGGTCTAGCCAGGGTTTAGGGTTTAGGTTTTAGGGTTGAGGGTTTAGGGTTAGGGTTTGGGCTCTAGGGTCAGGGTTTAGGGTCTAGGGTCTAGCCAGGGTAGCCAGGGTTTAGGGTTTAGGTTTTAGGGTTGAGGGTTTTGGTTTAGGGTGTGGGGCTGTGGCTCGTGCAAAAGTCTGGATCAGTCGAGCAGTAGCACTAACAAGCAGCAGCAGAAGCAGTAGTAGTAGTAGTTATAGTAGTAGTAGTAGTAGCAGCAGTAGTAGTAGTAGGAGTAGTAGTAGTAGTAGCAGTAGTAGTCGCAGTACCAGCTCGACAGGGGGGTTGTCCCATACCCAAACCAGAACAAGTCTGAATGGGAAGCCAGCAGCACTCCATGTCAACCCAGAGGAATTTGTAGCTTACCCAACCTGTAAACCCTAACTATAACCCTATGAAGCCTATAGACTCTAAAACCCAAACTCAAAGCCCGAAAGCCGACAAGAAGAATTCCGAAACCGGAGAAAACCTGTAAACCCTGACTGCCCGAAAGCTAACGAGGAAACAAACCATCTGAGGCCTGGAGACAATTCGAGGTCACGGCATGCACTGCGAGGACCCGTGTCAAGCTTCAAGCACATGATGTTTTGGAAGCACTGCAAACCCCTTGCGTGCCAAAGAATCTTGAAAGCTGGGCTGTGGAGCTTCTCCATTACTGAAGCTAGCAGTGCATGCTAGCAGTGCATGCATATTCTAAAGTAGACTACATCTTATCGACCCGAACTCCAGCAGCCCGTGCCACGGCTACTGCCAAAAGTGGCGGGGGCCGACACTCACAAGCGACGGCGTTTCAGCTCGTTCTCGTCGTACCCAAGCGAAGCCAGCACGTTGGATCGCTGGTGGGACTCCATCCACCTCATGTTTTTAGAAGCTATGCGGGAATCGATTAGCACATTCGATCTTGAGGGTCCTATAGTTGGAAGAAAGAGTCGGGGTGCATGCATCAAGCACAATGGAAGCATAGCATTCAACTCAAGATTTCCAGGCATACCTGCGTGTGTGTGTGTGTGTGTGTGTCTGTCTGTCTCTCTCTCTCTCTCTCTCTCTCTCTCTCTCTCTCTCTCTCTCTCTCTCTCTCTCTCTCTCTCTCTCTCTCTCTCTCTCGTCTATGTCTCTGCGGGCCAGCCTGAGCTGCTTTTCCTTGCTTTTCAAGATCCCGGGTCCGAACTTCTCGTCGAGCCTCAGCTAGCATTGGTCAAGCAGTTCAAATCTTGCATGGATATTACCCAATCGTGCGATGACATTGTACTATATGCAGGAAAGAAGCTTTTTGAAGAATTTCTTCCTCTCCACATTGTAAGGCGTATCATTTCTTTTCTTCTTCGGCCCACCATTAGCCTTGGGAGCTGCCTTCGCTTTTGACTTCGCTTTGCTCGCTGCTTTCGCTTTGCCCTTGGCCTTGGCCGATGCTCTTCGGTGCTCACTCAAGTTTCGTTGGGATTGGGGATTGATGCACGATTGCTTGGTGGCAGTGAGTACTTGGGCGATGTGTGGCCAATTTTCGAGTAGTGCTGCGTCCACATCGAAGGGTGCCTTATGTTTCAATCTCTACACATCCAATCCTGCTCTCTGGGCATGCACATGCAACCTCTCAAATGCTGGTGGGCTGCAGGACCCTCCTCCGACCTTTCTTTGGAAGCCCTGGCCTAGGCTGCATGATGAAGCGACCCGGGCGACAGTCGCAAATTGAGGATAGGATACGAACCCCAAGCCTTTAACCTGAATATAATACCATCCCCAACCTCAAACCCTAAAATTGAGCCGCTGCTCAGATCCATAAAGCCCTGAGATTGTGCCCGGAATTCGGCGACCCTGCCTCGGTTGCCGGTGCTTTAATCTTCTTCTTGTCTGTCTCCTGCCAGAGACAAGATAAATTGGCCGGCATGGGTGCTCTTTTATAGTAGGTTTTAGGGTTTTGGGCCTAGGGTTTTGGGCTTCAGGGTTTAGGCATTGGTTCCGTAAAACCTAAGCGACCGTGCCTCGACCGGCGGACATTCATCTTCGACCAGCACTTCCTCGTACTCCTGCCCGAGATTTTTAATCAGCCGGCTGGGGAGAAGGGCTTGGGTTTCGGGCTTTAGGGTTTATGTAAGGCCTAGGTTTTTTGGCGCTATGCATGGCTAGGAAGCGACCCTGCCTCGGTATCCGGCCACTGCCCTTCATCTTCGACTTGCACTTCCTCATATTCCTGCCCGAGAAAGAAATCGGCCGGCATAGAATTGGGGGAAGGGCTCCGATTTCGGGTTTTAGGGTTTATAATATAAGGCCTAGGGTGTTCCTCTTTATATGCATGACTACGAAGCGACCCTGCCTCGGTATCCGGCCCCTGCCCTTCATCTTCGACTTGCACTTCCTCGTAATCCTGCCCGAGAAAAAAATCGGCCGGCATAGAATTGGGGGAAGGGCTCCGATTTCGGGTTTTAGGTTTTAGGGTTTATAATAAGGCCTAGGGTTTTCGTCTCTATATATGCATGACTACGAAGCGACCCTGCCTCGAAAGCCGGCCCCGGCCATTCATCTTCGACCACGACTTCCTCGTATTCCTGCCCGAGAAAAAATCGGCCGGCATAGAATTGGGGGGGGAAGGTATATAAGGCCTATGGGGCACCGTGCCTCGGGAGCAGGTTCTTCATTTTCAACCACGACATCCTCGTACTCCTGCCCAACATGTGGGATTTGGGTTCCCTTAATTTATAACAGTATGAAGCCCTGCCTCGGTATCATCGGGTGCTTCATGATCTTCATACTTTGCTGGAAGTGTGTCCTGCCCGAGAAGACACAAATAGGTTTGCGTAGGATTGGGGGCTTGGGAAAGATCCTGCCTCCTCTTCGGGCTGCCATGATGCAGGCTTCTCCTGTAGGTTCTGGGGGCACAAACACTCTAAGCTCACCGTGGCTTAGCATGAGGTGTCGGGACTCTAAAAAATTGTAGAGCTCTAAGGGGTAGGACGGTTAGGACTAATTAGAGCTAAGGGAGGTTTAAGGCTTCGGCTAGTGGTTTAGGGCTTCGGATAAGTATAAAGTTTAAAGTGATTGATAAGTTAGGTTTACCTGATGCGTAATTCGATTCTACTTGTTGCTGATCTATGCAAATCATGTGGGAGGCTGGTGTGCAAGTTACCAATTTAGAGCAACACTCCGAGCCTCGGGTAGCCCGGCGGGGCGAGGAGAGTCCCAGACCTGGGCATGATTTTTCGGAATGTTGGAACCCTAGACCCTAGATAAGCCCAAAGACAAGCAGTAGATAGGTTGTTGCAGCAGGGGGTCCGAGTGGATTTCGGCCCACATTCGTTTCGTCCACGGCACATTGTTGGGTATCTCCGGAAAACCGGCCCAAGGATCGAAATTCGTCGATGGAACATGGTTCGGTGTCTCCTGGGAGCACCCGACAAGTAGTAGTAGTTGTTGTTGTAGCCGTAGTAGTAGTAGTAGTAGTAGTAGTAGTAGTAGTAGTAGTAGTAGTAGTAGTAGTAGTAGTAGTAGTAGTAGTAGTAGTCGTAGTAGTAGTAGTAGTAGTAGTAGTAGTAGTAGTAGTAGTAGTAGTTAATGGTAGCAGCAGCTGTAGCAGTAGCCGGAATAGAAAGGAGCAGCAGTAGCAGTAGCACTTTTCGTCAGAGGATCATGACATGCGACAAACGGATGGCCTCACTTTCGTAGGCATCCTCAGGCCACCCATCTTCTGGGAAGTCAGCCAGCTCCTGCCCAAACGTGTGAGGTTTTCATGTTTCGTGCTCATGATGCAATGTGTTTAGCTGGTTGGTCCTTTGCCCACCATTCGTCATCATCGAGCTCTTCGTTCTTTGTGTGGCTTTGCTTTGTGTCCTGCAGTCATTACACTGTTACACTTTAAGTAAGCATGCTATGGCACTAAGTTTCGTCCTCCAGCCACTCATCTTCATGCCCATCGCCTTGCTCCTGCAAAAACTTCAAGGGTTCTGCCGAGTTCATGAGCTGTGATTGTCAGCATCCGATCAGTCCTCTTGCAAGTTCCCGGGGTCGTCCTGTCGTAGCTCCGACTATTGAACTACTGGGGATTTCAAAGCTAATGCCGCCAACTGGGGTCCTCGGCCCAGTGGTCGTCCATATCATCGTCGTCCTGGAGATCTCCAGCTTTGTCCTCTGGGCAATGCGAATCTTTACCAGAAGATACAACAGGTTTATAAGCTCCTCGGCCCACTCTTCTTCGTCCCCCTGTTCCTGGGCGTTCTCGTCCTGCATGCACAAACGAAAGGAAACACACGGAAATAAAACCCAGCGGCGTGAGTATGGTCCTCCTTCCATGTGTCATCGCCCTCTTGGAGTGCTTCTTCGTCCTGTCGTTGCAATCAGGTTCGAAAGTTTCAAGCTATACACCAAATCTAGGTCCTCGGCCCCAGTCTGCTCAGGATTTTTTTCCCATTCCTCTCGAAACTACATGAGCCACTTCGAGATCTCTGCGTGAAACCCGGCCTGGTCTTCATCGATGCACTCTTCTTCCTCTGGCCATTCCTGCATGCTCTGCAGAAATAATTGAACCACTACCTCAACCCAGCGAACCCTATATAAAGCAGTATATACATGTTTCCGAATCCCTAGATTAAATTTAAAGCCACCCATAAACAATCTCCCAAACCGTACGAATATAAATATGTGTATATATATATACATATACACTTATATATAATGTCTACATACATACCCTCAGGAACTCGAAGGCCATGCGTGAAGCCGGTCCTGGTCTTCATCGTTGCCCTCTTCTTCCTTGGGCATTTCCTGCACGAGCGAAGAACCCAGACCATCAATCCTTGAAGCTATATACTATAGCATATATATATATATATATATATATATATATATATATATATACATAGCAGTCCCGAACAAGGATCCTATATTGTCACTTACAATCTCCGGGATACTAGGCAACAAACCGTAATGAACCCCAAACCCCCGAAGGTCTCGAAATCTGAAAGTGAAACCGGTCCTGGTATTGCTCCGCCCATTCATCGTCCGGATTCCATGCGGCCAAAGCCTGCAAAATTGGAACCATGCACGACCCCTTAAAACTTAAACCTGGAACCCCGAGTTCTATACTACTTGTCCTAGAATACAACCAAGACCCCAACCCCAAAGCTCCAATGGAAATGTCGAAAGTACAGCCTTGTAGTCGCTATCATCATCATCATCATCATCCTCCCAAGTCCTTGCATGGACACCGCAGAAACCAGGGCAGATCGGACAGCTATCATATGCAGTCATCACAATACTTAATGCAACCGTGCATCTGGTGTCCCTCGGGGTCATCTCCATCTGCTGGAGCCTGCATGCTTCCAATCGCACAAATCCTACATTCGGGAATGCCCAGGACACATTGCAAGAAAGGCTCCTCAGCCCATGAACTCGACGACATCATTGACAATGTCCTCAGATAATCACGATACAGTATACATACTATAGCTTTTAACCAGTGCGTGCATTCTCATTCCAAATGCCAGCAGTGGCACGTCTTCGCCTTCAATCTCGTCAAAGGCTTCACTGCCTCAGATCGATTCTGTTGCAACTTACTCGCAGAAACCTCGGCGTGCAAAGTCTCTAGCCGAGAGGCTGTACCTCCATCATGACACCCATCAGGCAGGGCAGCCTCGGGATGCTTGAACATGATCGCGACCAACCTTCCTATTCTTTCGGCCGAGAGGCTGTAGCCTGGCTCCCATCTGCGATTGCAGCCTCAACGATATCGAGACTAGAAAATGATGGTGCCCAACCTTCCTATGCAATTCAGAATAATGCAGCCGCAAAGCCAAATCGCCATCATGATCATCGGCATCAGCATCCTGCGGGAGGTGCATGGGCATCGCCATTACAGCACATTGTTCTCGAAAGAATCTTTGCAATGATCTTAAAGCTTTGATCGCAGATTTACAAGTGTCTCAATCTGAACATTTCCGTGCATGCCCAAGGGTCCTCCGGCATCTGCGTGTCCTCGTTGTCCATGGCGATGGAGCGACGGGCTTTGCACAGCAACTTCTGCAACGTGTCGGCTTCTTGCTTGCACCACTCACTAAAGGTCAACCCCGGAACATTCGGGATCTCCAGTGCTGGGTTTTCTCGGAACATCAAGCGAAGTGCCTCCTGAACAGCTCGCAAAGTGAAGAACCTGTTATTGTGCACTGCAAAAACCCAACGAAACTTTGCACGATTCTTCGCACTCCGGAAGTGATGGACTCTGGTAACCCTGCCCGTTTTCCGAAGATGCCCATGATCAAGCTGTTGCAACAAGTTGTCGCAGATGACCCTGGCCTTTAAGCGGAAAGCCGGGGCTTGCCAAGCCATGTAGCCTGCACTACCATCTATATTTTACTGATTTTATTTCTTCAGGACTCGGAAACATGGTGCAGTAGCCCCAGCATCCGCACAAAATCCTGTGATCCCAAAATGCGAAGCAAGTGTATGACCAATGGCAAATCCAATCTGGAATGGACAACTGCACACAAACCCAAACCCCAAGGCACCAAATGCCACAGATACCTCAGTCAAGCTGCTGGTTCAATCTGAACAAATCCATGCAATTCCAAATATCTTTCCCGGACCCTCAAAAGCAGCCGTATGCCACAATCCCAACATGCCTGGGAATCGCAAGCTTTCGTTTGTTCTTGGAGTTACATATGTATATCCCTTCTTCTTCTTCTTCTTCTTCTTGTTCGTCTTCTTCTTCTTACTCTTCTTCTTCTTCTTTTTCAATCTTCGCAATCGCAGGTCAGCTGTCCACACCTATATCTTTTCGGATAGCAACACTTTACTCGACCTGTCCAGGATCTAAACATGCATCAATTCTTGCAATTGCCTGTTAAAACAGGATATTTTTTATGCAGCACTTGCTGCATCAGATCAGAAGAGGGTTGCTCCTAATGATACTGTTTCTCGAAGCACACCCTATAGAGACGACCCTCGTTATCAAATCAAATCGCTGTATAGTGACGTTTGGCGCGTGCTGGTAAGTCCCCGCCAGGGTCGTCAGCCGTCCCCGCCAGAGTCGCCCGCCATACCCGCCAGGGTCGCTCGTCAAGCTCTTTCTACCAGGTCCCGTCCCCGCCAGGGTTCTCGCGCTGGGAGATAAGGGTACCCAATTTTACTATTGTGCCCCATGGCTAGCAGTGCCAAATCAGGTCTGGTAGACTCGATCTGCTTGGCCAAGCAAGCAGATCTCGAAGCGGTAGCGTTCAGTGGTACCGGCCGCCGCCGGGCGCGGGCGGCCAATGGTTTAGGGTTTAGGGTTGTTAGTCCATGCAAGGGGTCTTTCAGAGCTTTTGGATTGAGGGTTTATACGCAGTTCCCCCGAATAACCCCTGTAATATACCCTACATGCCCACTATTACGGATCAGAAGGGCTCCATTAAAAGGGCCATCGGGGGGTCCTGGTATAGAGTTTAGGGTTTGAGGCTTCAGGGCATTGAGTCAGTGTTGGGCGGTGCAGTTATTGTGGGCTTGAAGCTTCGGCTCCCTAAGTTAAGCCCTACCCTAGACCCTTAAACTTTAAAGCCTAGGATGCCCAGTAGTACCCTTATTCCCTTTTTGTAGTCCTAGGTTCCTTATAAAGTTACCCAATACCAAAAAGAGAGGCCTTTTTATTCTTAGGTTACTGGGTATCCTAGTTAAACTTTAAAGCCTTGCTTGCAGTGCTTGGAGCAGTCACTTGTGAAGCCCCGTACCACACGCAGAAGTGCTGCCCCAATCCCTCGGACCCACATGAGTTGGTCAATGCCGCTTGAACTTAAAACGCCAAATCCAAGAACCCTTCGCTCTAAACCCCTACTAAGTGTAATGTAATAGTGGTCGTCGTAGTTGTCGTCGTAGTAGCAGTCGTAGTAGTAGTCGTCGTAGTAGTAGTAGTAGCAGTAGTGGGGATCTTTGAGAAGCTGCCGATCTTGAAGGGAAAGCGCAGTTTCTGGGTCTGCGTCCATAAGCCCTAAACTCGAAAACCTAAATCAGGGTTTAGGGGTCACGTAGAGCTCGACACACTAGACCCTCACCTGAGGCAGACTTGATGACACCTGGAAGCTTTGACGAAGCAGTGAAGGGCTGCAAGGCCATGAAAGACAGGAGCTAGGATGCCCAGCAGTACCCTTATTCCCTTTTTGTAGTCCTAGGTTCCCTATAAAGTTACCCAATACCAAAAAGAGAGGCCTTTTTATTCTTAGGTTACTGGGTATCCTAGGGAGTGAGAGAACCTTAAGGGCCTGAGGGGTTTACAGTAGAAGCCAGAAAGTTGGAATATCATTATCGTAACCCCTTTAAAGTAAATTATAGGGGATCCTACCATGAATCCATATTCCAACTTTCTGGAGTTACCTCTAGGGGGTTTAGGGTTTGTTTTGAAACTTGGTGTTTAAAGTGATGGGTTTCTTTTGCCTCTTATGAGGGTTATGCAGGAGTTTTCAGGGCGAGCTAGTATGTGGACAGCAGCAGCAGCAGCAACTAGGAAATCTGTACTAGCAGCGGTTGGGGGAATAACGAGCGAGTCGTAACACTCATGATACGATTTCTAAGCGGCGGCAACACAATACTAGCAGGTCTTGGGACGTAAAACTTATGCTGCGACGTCGTGTGAGGCAGTTTTCCACGTCGCCTCCCCGCTACCGGTCGGCAAAGGTGCCGTCGAAGAAAGTCAAAGTTTCGTGTTTGGAGTTTTGCGTTTTACCTTTGTCTTAGGGACCCAAAAAGCACGTAAGCATAAGCATTTTACCGGGATATCCCTACCTTATTGGGCTCCCTTTTGAGGGGGTTTATATTGGATATCCCTATCCTAATTTTTGCTTATGTGCTTTTTTGGACCCTATTGTCGCTTGTCTGCAGAGTTTCTCTTGCTGAAGTCTTGGTTTGTGTTTCTAAGTGTTTTCAAGGTTGCGGTAACCTTGACCTGTGCTGGATGCAAAGATGGCATTCAGACCGGTCTCAGATTTTCGGCCAAAGCCGCCTGCTGCCAGATCATAGGTAAGTGGCAAAGGCCAAAACTCCCGAAATCGAAGCCCCTGAACCGCTGAGCCCCTCCCTTCTTATCCCCCCTCTCACACTAAGCCCTAAATCCCCATACTGCCTACAGCCCGCTACTACCGACCCCGGCTGACCCTAAACCGGAACCCTGTCCTCCTCGCCTGCACGGCCGAGATCTGCTCGCACATGCGACTTCATCCGACGCTGCCGCAGCTAAATGTAGCGGTCTGAATATGTGGTCATCGTATTCCCTGGTATCTAGACCATAAACCCTAAACCCTAAACCCGAAACTCTTGACCCTAAACTCTGAAACTTAAACCCTAAACTCTAAACTCTAGACCCCAAACCCTAAACCCTAGAGATCAACCGAGAGCCCAAGAACAGGTTCAGAAGATCCGGAGAACATCGTGGTCAGGCCTGGCTGGGCTTCTCTCCCTGTCTTAGAGGATCATGGGACTTAGTAAGTAGGGTTCCTTAAAGGGCTCCTTTAGGGAATTGTTAAGTTTGAAGGCTCTATACAAGGATTCTATAAGGGGGAGTTTAGGGCACTTAGAGGATCACGGGACTTAGTAAGGAGGTTATAATTGGGGTTATACAGTTATGTCCCCTCAGTGGAGGTATCCTAATTATAAGCTACTTATAACCTTACTTACTAAGTCCCATGCGCCTTTTAGTAGGGTTTACCAGGACCCCCCAAGTGCCCATTTATGGAGCCCGTATGGTCCTTAGTAGTGGGTATTTAGGGTATTACAAATTGTGGTTGGGTGATCTTAGTAGGGTTTAGGGTTTAAGGTTTAGGATTTAGGGGTTCTCTTCTGCAATTGCACTGGTGGGGTGGCTAGAACTAATCACTGAGCAGCCACATTACCTACCCATTGATATTGGAGGAGCTACGGAGCCAGGGATGATGATAATCCCTATTAAATAAGGTGCTAACGAGCCAACGGAACCCCCAAACCACGGGTTAGTTACAATCACTACAAACTACGAAGTTATGAAATCTGGCGGCCGCCAAGATTCGGGTCCTCAAAATGGGCGTCAGTCTGGCAATCAAGACCCAGTTTGGGTTCGAATATCTTTTGCTAAACCCTGAATAAGATACTAAACGCCTAGACAAAGCCCTCCGGACGCTTGTAAGATCTTTGCAGTACTTCAACTAGCCCCAGTAGTACCCTTATTCCCTTTTTGTAGTCCTAGGTTCCTTATAAAAGTTACCCAAGACCAAAAAGAGAGGCCTTTTTATTCTTAGGTTACTGGGGTATCCTAGGGTAGATTCTTTCAAAACTCCTGTAGGAACCCTGAGCCACTCCAGCAAATTTCTCGGGAAGGCCCGCAGTGGAAGGGATGCTGAGCCCTGGCTTGCGATCCGCAGGGAGCTTCGGAGTTGTCCCAGAGCTTAGTAAGAAACCCTAGGGTTCCTTTAAAGGGCTCCTTTTTTAAGGGATCTATAAGTCTATAAGGGTTCTATAAGGGGGAGTTTAGGGAACTTAGAGGATCTTGGGACTTAGTAAGTAGGTTATAACTGGGGTTATACGTCCCCTAAGTCGGGTTATCCTAATTATAACCTACTTATAACCTTACTTACTCAGTCCCATGAGCCTTTAAGCACCTTTGGTTAGTAGGGAATGGAAGAGTGGTAGTAATAGTACTGTAGTTATAATTGTATCCCATTCCTCCATTCCATATTAACCAAAGGCAAGAAAAGGGTCCTAGATACTGCTATGAGAAATACTTCCAAATCATAGTAGTCATTCCCAATATAGACACTCCACATGCTCCTGTATAGGTACTTTGGACCCTTTGGGTTTGGGAGTTTCCGAGTTGAGGAGTTTGCAGGATTAGGTGTTTAGGGTATCGGGGGTTGAAGGTTCAAGGATTTGAGCGTTTAGGTTTTATCAGGTGGCTTTGGCGTTGTGTTTCAGGGTATACTGCGGTATACTGCGAGGGGCTCAAGGCCTCAAAGTTTCAATGTCTCAACCCTACTTAGAACCCCCCACCTACCCTCTAATATTCCCTTAAATACCCACTATTACGGACCATAAGGTCTCTGTTAAGAGCACTTGGGAGGACCTGGGTAACCATATTCCCCCAAACGCTAACCCGCAAACCCTAAACCCTAAACCTTCAAGACACGAAGCAGTCGACAGTCCACCCGACTCGAGTTGAACACCTTGGTCCTTTGAGCGTTTGAGCCGATCACTTTCTCTTTCTGGGTAGGGTTTAGGGTTTAGGGCTTTAGGGTTTAGAGTTTTACTGTTTAGGATTTAGTCAAGGGCTTCACTAGGCATGCTTGCTCAACCTGGGTGCTTCCAAGCTGGCATCGTGCTCGCTCACCTGTTTTTCTCGGCCTCTGGATCCCCGCTGCCGTGCCGTGATCTCACAGCGAAATCATGATGCCAGCGTCTCGAGCATGTAGTTTAAGTCTCTTGTTTGATTACTCAGACTTCGGCATCAATCCCCAAACCCTCTACTGGCACCTCTGGCGCTTCGCAGCAGGCGGTGCACTTCCGGTTGCTTTGCACAGCCATGTCCAGACTATAAAATATGCCTGTGCCCTCGATCTCTTCGAGGCCGCAATACTCTTGAGGCTGGTTCGCCTCTTGTCCAGCTCGCTTTCCGGAAGTGCCGGGTTGAAGCTAGCAGCACAAGTCGACCTTGGCGGCAGCTGTGGATTCAGCAGCGGTTCGATGATATCAATCCTACCTTGAAACTGATGCAAAAGGTGCTGGCGAGATGCTTCCCCTCGTAGAAGCAGTTGCCGAGAAGCTTGCCCTGGAAGTGGGGCAATGTAGCATCACAATGAACCGTCTGGTGCATTGCCGCCCCCTCTGGAATGGGCATCATCCTCACAAGATCATCAGGCAAGGAGGTGGTCGAGGAAAGCAATGCCCGGGAAGCTCGATTCTGCTGCTCCGTCGACGGCTTGGGTGCTGCCGCTTCGCCCTGCAGCTCTTCACAACCCGAGGCTAAACATACAGAACTGTGGCAGCTGATGGTCCTCCTCCTTCTCTTTCTCTTCCATTTCTTTCTCTTCTTCCTCGTCGAGCCTTGCCAGCAGCTCCTGGCAGGCCTGTGCTGCAGGATCTTCCTGCAGCTCCTCCCATTGGACTTCTGCCTCGCGAGCGATGGGTTCCTACATCTCTTCTCTCTTTCCGTCAGTCTTTCAGCAGAACATGTATGAATACGTTCTCACGAAAAGCGCCTCGGCCACAACATCATCCTCGTTCTTCTCTCTCTCTTTGCTCTTCTTCTTTGCATCTGCTTCATCCAATCGAGCCAGCAGCTTCGCGATGGTCCTTGCAGAACATACCTCTTGCACCTTCTCCATAGCCAAGATTCGCCTCACCTTGTGAGGCTTCGTGGAGTTCTTAGGCATCTGGATGTCGTGTTTCTGCAACAACTCCGTCAAAGAGGCGCTGGAGCTCGAGAGGATGAGCTCTGAGTGCACTAAGAAGCAAAGCAAGCAAAACTCTTGACTGCCCCGTCTCAGCACAACGGCCGAGCCACACTTGTCTGCGAGGCTTCCCTCGCAGACATGCAAGGTGTAGTCGAAGAGCTTCACCTTGCAAAACGCCATGAACAATCAGCTCACAGTGTCGTGCCAACTACGAGGCCTCCTCGTAGTCGAAGCGGAGCTGCTGAATCATGTTCCTGCAGCAGTCACTAATTGAAATTCGTGCGGAACTGCAGCACTTCTGTCGGAACCCAGCCTTCCAATGTCCAGCACCAAAGCAGGTGTGCTTGAATCCCGGCTCAGCAGATCCACGTCGTCGGCCGGATGGCAAGGCACTCGCGTCTCGTCGGTCGTCGCCGTCGGGAGGGGTCCCTTGAAGAGGTAGGGAAGCTCTTTCAAGCAAACAGCCTCAGACCGGGCAACATCGCACATGGCTTCGGAGCAAAACGATACATGTGTAAAGCTCACACTCAATCCCAGATGCGGTGAGAACGGCTGGCGTGCAGCCCGTGGCCAAGTAGAACTTGCCGGAGTACTTCAAGAGCATGCCAGACGAGAAGCAGCCCTGGACCCAGAAGTTCGCTGCTTCCTCGGCGGGGTTCTTGCCCTGCCTCGGTTCGTGCTTGTCGGCAAAAGCACGAGAAAACTTCAGCCCTGGTTTGCTTTCAGGGTGCTGCTGAGCCTTGCGGAGCCCCAACATGAAGTTGAGGCAGTGGTGGTTGTGGAAGAAGGCGGTCGTGCTCGGAAACGGCTTCAGGATATTGTCCACGGCAACATGCTGGCCTGGGGCAAGCTCGGTGGTTGATGGCTGACAACATGTTTGTCACATTCCACAAAAGGAGAGACTTTATTCATACAGCCCAGGAACAAGCTGGAGCAGAGGCAGGGTTGAAAGCTTTCGGTTTCACTCCGAGGGCTTGTGTTCCTGTCCAATCATCAGCCCGCAACTTCACCTGACCGGTGGATCCATCCTGCACACAAAGCCTGTTCTGCAGCGACCGTACCCCAACCGCGAAAAGGTTGGGGAGTGAGCCGCAGTCACTGCGACCGGAGCGTTTCGTCGCATCCTGCAGGTCTCCGAAAACGGATTCCAAGGATGCCGACCAAGCCGTCGGCGGGAACCAAGCCGCGGTGAGGGCCGCGGTCTCGCGGGTCATCTTCCAGCCACTCTTTTCGTGCACTGTCATGAGCTCTCGGTACTGCTGGAAGGAGCAAAAGCTGCAGTTCTGCCGAAGGAGGTTTGCTCCGGCAGGGGTCTCTTCCAGGGCGAGTACCAGCCGCCACTCCTGCTCCATCGCCTTCAGAACGGCGCCCTTGGTGGGGTCGTCCTCAACCGTCGACAACAAAGCTGCTGCTTTCGCAGGTGCACTGCGAAGATACAGTACATACTGCATCATCTCGTGGATGCTCGCCAAAAGCATCTTGTGGCCCTCGTTCAGTGCACTGGAGAGCGAGTCGGCTCTGCGAAACTTAACCGTCAGCACCTGCCCCAGGATGAGCAAGAAAAGATAATTGTTGTACGACTCGTTAGTTTCGGCCCTTCTTCTCGCTCTCTCGCTCTCGCTCTCTCTTTCTCTCTCTCTCTCTCTCTCTCTCTCTCTCTCTCTCTCTCTCTCTCTCTCTCTCTCTCTCTCTCTCTCTCTCTCTCTCTCTCTCTCTCTCTCTCTCTCTCTCTCTCTCTCTCTCTCTCTCTCTCTCTCTCTCTCTCTCTCTCTCTCTCTCTCTCTCTCTCTCTCTCAGTCTCTCCCTCCCTCCTTCTGCCCCAATAGTATAATATGCTCGGATAATTACTCAACGGGAACGTCTAAGCCGAGCTTCTTCGAGGTTTAACTTGGCACATGCACTCGCCGATTCTGCAATTTCCAAGCAGTAGTAGCTCGAATAGAATCATGATCGTCAATTGCATTGGTTAGCTGATTGTGTCGAAGGCAACCGAGCCATCAGACAATGTAGCTGCAAAGAGCAAGAATCCTGTAAAGTGAGATCGGACAGCTACACAACTTCGAGATTATAAGTCCGGCCTGTCCAGAGACCGCGATGTCTGGAAGCATGCCCAGACGGCGGGCGGTGCAGGCCGTCGTGGCCAGATTGGCGAGGGTTTCTTCCAGGGCTCCACCGTTCATCTTCAGCGTGTGGTCGTGCAGGGCATTCTTTTTGTTGGTCGTCTTTTGCTTAGTTTGCGAATCAGGTTTCGAGAGGGACAAAGGCCCCCAGGAACGAAGGTAGGAACTCCGCACACCAAAGACACTATTGCAGCCTGGGCACAAGTTCAAGACAAAGCTCCCTGTAGGGCTCGAGGATGTTGCGGGCAATCTGGAAGAGGGCGAAGTACTCCTCGCTGGTCAGCACCTGGGGTTGCAGGATGCCGCAGGATTTTGGGAACTCGGCTTCAGGAGGCTCAGATTTCAGGGTAGTGATAGGATTGTTTAACTTGATTGATTATTAGCTACAGTCGCAATCAGGCCTTCACACATGTGTCCACGGTCTTGTCGTAGTTTTTGACCTGCTGCCCGCCATCGTTCTCGCACTTGAAGGGATTCTTGCCCACCTTCATTCGAACCGTCATTATCATATTGGGTATTGGGTAAGATTGGCTGATGGCACTCTTTATTGTCGATAGGACCGCACTTGCACTCCGACCTCCATTGCACTCCAGAAAATCAAGAGCAGGGAGGCACTCATCTGAAATCGCTTCGCCGTGTGTGCGAAACTGCACCAGCGAGACCATGAAAAGGTCTCGGAGTTGAACCTTTGGAAACCAACCAAACAAAACTTATTATGCTGATTTGCTATCCGTAACACTCAACCAACCACCCCCCAAATGCTATTACACCCCAAACTACTCTATTCATCAACTAATTAAGACCGTCAATGGTATTAGTACTAAACTCTAGACTAGAAGCCTTAAGCCCTAAAGCCTGAACTAAAAGCAAACCCATTAAACCACAATGCACACCAGCTGCTTGCACACTTTGCCGAGGATGTCCATCACCCTGCGAAAGTTCAGCTGCTCGTCGCTGGTCTCCTCGAAATCGTTCCTTGGCATTGAGCATGGCAGGATAATCTGGGTCAGTCGAATGGCGCTTTGTTTCTAATAATTAAGACAAGACTCTCCTTGAGGATGTCTCGCTGGAACATTTGCATCAACACGTCCCCGGGCTTCGCCTAAATTGCAATCTTGCTACAACAAGCCGTGAACAAGAGACTGTTACTGCCCGTTTCAAACGTGCAGCTGTGTTGCTGTTTGCATGTACCGCTCACCGGCTTCAGAGAGCTGATTCCCGAATCCCTGCGTGTGCCACGGGGTTTTCCTGGCCCGAAAGAGCCATCCACATAGCATCGTCATTCCTGGACATGTCTTTTGGTCGTACTGCAGTTATCAGAATCAGGACCCAAATCGCCTCAGTAATTGCAGCGAGGAAGCGTTTCACGACAGGAGTGCAGGAGGTCACCCTTCCTTGATGTGCATGCAATTTGTGCCTGAGCGTGGGAGTGGGGTCGGGTTCGGAGGCCTGAGTCGCTGGGGGGTTCAATGGTATGTGCACAACGACAACCATGTTGCCACCGGGGGGCAGCTCGTCGCGAATCAGACCGATGCTGGCCCCCGAAAAAGCTAAGAACTGATAACAGGTGTACAGGGGCGACCCTTGGTCTGCACAAAGCACAAGGCGGATGTCCTGCGTGGCGGAGTGCATTGGAACATCCCAGCGGCTCTGCCCCGTTCTCGTGTTGTAGATGAATGCAAAGTTCTCGGAGTTGAGCTCAAGGACCTGCCTCTCTTCCATGCCACAGACTTTTGCAGTCAATGGATTTGTTGGAAAGAAAGAATCCATAGACATGCCAACATGGCTCAGGATATTCATCACAGCCTTCATCTCTTGGCGGGCCGAAAGTTTCTCTTCTTTTATCGCGTTGAGGGCTTTGGGCCTGGGTGTGTGCATTCATTGATTGACTCACTCGAACAAACCCAACAACAGCAGTATGCTTCAAATGCTGACCGAGCTGCAGCTTCTTTTTCAGTTCCTTTTGCTTTGTGCAGGCCACCGCCACATTGACAGTCCGGGAGTCGGCGACCATTTCGGCGACTTGAATCTTATCTTCAGGGCTCGCGTTTGAGGGGAGCAAACCGCTCAGCCTTTGCAGCGTAGCAAGCCCGATCTTGTTCGGCATCACGATGATGGGAAGCCAAATCTGAGCATAGCAACAGTGGCAGAGAGAATCCCAAAATGGGCGAGATGCCAGCAGTCTTATTGCAATCGAGTAACATCCATCTTCGCCTTCGGAGATGCATCGCAGAGCACCCCCACACTCTTGAATGTCATCTGACTCAATTCCTGTGCAATTCAGGGAAGGGAGACTCAAGTCTAAGTCCGATAGACGTTTGCCGGGCCTCCTTCAGATCATCTTGAGTTCGCCGAAGATATCGACACATAAAATCCGAGGTGGTCCTGCTGGTTATTGATCCCTGGCTTTACCTGTGGGTTCTGTTCGGGAGTTGGTGTCAATGGGTCACAGGCAATAAGTTAGTCTTGTCACTAGCCAATGACAAAGACTGCAGTTAGACCTCCTGGAGATTCGTTTGTAAACCATATCCTAGAAACCCTTTGTAATACTAATTAAGTATAAGAACCACAAGTAATAAAACCCACCAGGCAATAAAGGTTCTAGCTAAGTCCCCAAAAAACATACCCCAGCATTATCCCAAACAGTCCTCTGATAATGACTCGGGCACATAGCCTCGAGACCAACATCTTTCAGCGAAGCATCCATGCCCTTGGAGCAAAAGCCCCCTCCTCGGGAAATAAATCTGTCGATGGCCATTTGTGCCCGAGGCTTGCAATCTTCGCGAAGAGCTCTGCCGTCCCTGAAAGGCCGGGTGGGCATTGTGAGATGGCGTGCGGGCACATTTGGGGTGTCTACTGAAGAGAACGGAATATCCATGATGTGCGGCTAGGAAACTTGGTCATGGGGTGGAATTCGTGGTCGGGCTGCAATGCAGGCATCTCCGGCTCGGCGATGTTTATGATCTCCTTCTCTGCCTCCTGGCTGAGTGCATGAAGCAGGCGTCTTTGAAGCCTGCCCCAGGTCACTTGGTCCTGCAAAAGGTAGCACACGGTCATGGTTTGCCACGAAGGACCCCAAAAGACACAAGACAGAGCGAGAGAGAGATAGCCAGAGAAACACGGTTTGGTGTTAAATGATGTTGGGATCAGATTTAAATCTGTCTGTCCTGGAACTTGTCCTGATGGGGCTGTCGCAAAATGAACCACGTAGCCACGTGCAATCTAATGCCTGCAATCAAAGGATGCGGCTTGCTAGCTTGTCAAGCACGAGTTGCAAGCTAACCTATATTGTCTCTGGGGCCTGTGTCGATGTTCTGCTCTGCCTTGCTGAGCAGCTTGCAGTGGTGCCACCTGCGAAAGCCAAGGGTGCTGTGACAAAGCTCCCAATTGGATCCAAAATCGATTCGAGAGAAGCCTCTCAGTGGCAGCGGCATAATCCAGGAATCGCTTCCAGCTTTGCAGAGTGACGTGACCATTCGCAATATGCAAGAGACCTCGAAAGCAACAAGAACTAGTGGTTCGGTTCGATGAGCAAACCAGCGAAGAACCCGAAACAGACACAAGAGAGACAGAGAGCGAGAGAGAGAGCGAGAGAGAGATAGAGAGAGGGAGAGAGAGAGAGAGAGAGAGAGAGAGAGAGAGAGAGAGAGAGAGAGAGAGAGAGAGAGAGAGAGAGAGAGAGAGAGAGAGAGAGAGAGAGAGAGAGAGAGAGAGAGAGAGAGAGAGAGAGAGAGAGGGAGAGAGAGAGCGAGAGAGAGAGGGGAGATCGAGGGATTCGTGAAGTTAGGTCAAGACTGTGTGCGGGCTCAGGGATGAGAACACAAGGAGAATTGTTAAGGTTTTGGATTTAGAGATCAGAAACTTAACCGGTGATTCGCAGTGTCACTGACAGTAATTCCCAGTTCCAAGGGTTTCGGCGCTCAAGGGTTTAGGAGTGAGGGTTTTGGGTGAGGGTTTTGGGTTTAGGGTTTTAGGGCTTTAGTAGTAGGGTTTAGTAGTCTGGGTTTAGGGATAAGTTAAGGGCTAAAGACTAAATTAATCTTTATGAGAAAGATTAATAGTTTATTGATCATTATTCTTCTTCTTATTATTATATTATAATATTATAATTAAATAATTATTGTTAAATTACTGGGGTAATTTATCTGCCTCCCCGTCCCTGTCTCAGTCAGTCTCGCTGACCTGAATCAATCCGAGTCACACTGCTCCTTGCCTGGGAGCAGAGGAATCTTGAGGCTCCCGCATAAGCACGTCCCAAGAATCACACCCAGGCAATCAAATGCACCCTTCTGCACATCGGGGCGGCAGCCCCTCGTCTGCAGCACGTAGGATGCCTGGGTTATTTCAGGATTGTCTTTTGTCCGAATCTATTGCATGGCAACGGCGTTCGGAAAGGAAGCCTAATATAGCCTCCAAGCCACCGTGAAAATCGCACCCGGCAATGTTAACCCCTCAAAGGGTATCTTGATCCTGTTCGGCGCAACTTTGCTGCCGTGCCCCTTGTAAGACGACTTTCGGATCATGTGGGTGTCCACATGGAGCCGCCAGCTCTCGGCGATATCTAATGCCAGTCCGTCTTGTCTTGGATGCCACATCAATCAGTCTACTATCAGTAGACAAGCCACTCACTGACGGCAAGAATGTAACTTGCATGAACTGTGCAGCACAGATTCAGTTTGGTGAAGAAGTTCGAGTAGAGCTGGCTTCGCTTCGTGATAGCCCACACCTCCTCTGCACGTAGAAGGATTCTGTAGCCCTCCAGCTTCTCAGTAACCTCGCGAGGGGACAGCAGCAAAATGTTTCAAGAGAGAGACACACACGAACACCAAAAGGTGCAGGAAATGACTAATTGCATTCCGGGACCAACTTGTGCAGCTGCAGCACACCACGTACAGCACTCTGCGATCTCAGGTACAAGATCTGGGTCTCCGTGAATCTCTGGGAGGAGCTGGGCGGGCTGCTGTGCTGGGACTCGCCGTCCCGCTCAATTTCCATCTGCTGCTGCTGCGGTGCCTGGGCCAAAGCATTCTTCTGAAAGATCCTCGGTCTGAGATAAATCTTCTGCTTGGCGAAGGCGGCACGATGCATGTCCAGTGCCTCCTGCTTGTTTGAGGGCACGAAGAAGTGACTATGGTGTGTGTGTGTGTGTGTGTGTGTTTGTGTTCGTGTGCTTGTGTGTCTGTGTGGCTTCCTCCCTGTTGTTGTCGTCGTTGTTGGCGTCGTTGTTGTTGTTGTTGTCGTTGTTGTTGTCGTTGTGGTTGTGGTCGTTGCGGTTGTTGTCGTCGTCGTGGTCGTTGTTGTTGTGGTGCCGGTTGTCGTTCAGGTGGTTGTTGTTGCTGTTGCTGTTGTTTGTCGCTTTTGTGTTTGTTTTGGTGGCTTGTCGTAAATGTGCATGACTGACATTGTTGCTTCTCTCGCTTCCACCTACTTTATGCTGTGCTTGTGTGTCTGTGTGTGTCTGCGTGTAGAAAGATAGGTAGATAGATGGAAAGAAACAAACAGATTCGATAGGTAGGCAAGTAACTAAATAAAAGAGAAAGATACGAGTATACAGTGTCTAAATATGGGTGCATGTACATGCATTTACATGTATACCTGTCTATCTCTTATTTTCTCTTTCTGTCTCTCTCTCTCTCTCTCTCTCTCTCTCTCTCTCTCTCTCTATCTATCTCTTTCTGGCTCTCTCCATCTCTCTCTCTCTCGCTGGGCCTCTCCTGCTGTATTCTACTTGTTGTCTTTTCCCAGTCTCTCTGTATTTGTCTTTGTCTGCCTCTAGAGAATTGGGATAACAGTTGGTCCTCCCAGGTCTCCGGGGTGAGGTCGAGATCTCCCAGCTTCTTGTTCTCGAGGAAGGAGCAGTCAATAAAATTAATTTTTTTCCCAAGCTTCTCGATGAAGTGGCCCCGGTCAGCGGATTCACTGTCATTGTTCAGCCTGAGGCCAAGAGCCCAGCAAAATTAGAAGTCCGAGCGAGCACGTTTGTGATTGAGCGAGCACGTATACGATTAGCCAAGCCACTGCGACAGCTCTCGGAGCCTGTCTCCCAGCCATTGGAAACCAGCCATGATTCGGCTCGTCCTCAGATGCGGATTCATGCTTGCTCGATTTCCCGTCGGCGCTCGGGCGGTCAGCGTGCGACGGGTTGCGGGCAAAAAAAAGTTCGCGGGCACGCTATCCTTTTAGACCGCCACTTCGGGCAAGCACGCTGCAAAATGAAGGATGCCTGGAGGAATGTGCGTTTAGGGAGCATGGTCCGGATCTAGAGGAACATCGTGCCCGTGAACTTGTTTGTGCCGGCACCGTGCGTGCAGGTGCGTGTTTCTGCGGGTGTGCGTGTGTGCAGCGAGCACGCAGTATCGAGCAAGCACGCACCGTGTGAGCGAGCACGTTATGGTCGAGCGAGCACGCAAACATGCGAGAACGGCCTCCGATTTTGAGGTCTGTCTAAGCCCTCTTAAAACCCTTACTAAATAACCCGGGAACCAGGCATCCCCTTCTACTTTCTCTTTAAGACCAGTCGGCCAATCCAGACCCGAGCCCGAATCCCGGCCGCCTGGCCGCCTGGCCGGGCCTTCCTGGAAACCCTAGACTGTGATTGTAAGTTTCGTGTAATGAATGAAAGTGCAGGCAGCCTCTTCAAATCTGGCCAAATATCCCGAACCCCACACCCTGACTTCACATCTCTCTGCGGCCGAGAATCTCTGGATGGATCGGCTGCGAACCAACCAGGACCAGGAGCTCGAATGCACGATGGCTGAAACTAAACTAGTTGAGGCGGCTTTCGTTTGCAATTCAGGCCTTTTGTTTTGTGGTCAAGCACAAAGAAACCAATAAAGGATTAAGGGTTCGGTTATGTGGAATTTGGGTTCACTCATTATGACAATCTCGAGGTCCAGCACTAGGACTGGTTATGATACTATTTGGGTTTGGCTCCTAAGCGTATTAAGATAATATTTCTTCAATAAGACATTATACAATTACTAGCACCCATCATGTTGGCCGGTATACTTTAGGACTTCTATAATTAGTGAGACTAAAGACTTCGGGTCTGCTTTGCATAGACTCGAATGTGTAAAATGCCACTAAATTAATCGGGCTTGTTCAGGGTGGCTTCGCTCTAAATTGTCTCCTTAGTATAGAATACACTAGGGTGCTCGGGGTTCCTTTGACTTTGGGTCCCATCCGACAGAATCCAGGGCTTCACATGTGTCATGCACATTCCGCCAAAGCCTGCAACACCACGGATTCCAAAGTCAGTGCTTCAATGGAGAGCAACTTCTGCTGCAATTCGGTGGCAACACAAGACTCCAGACTCGAGCTGACAGTTTAATCGTTTTTTCGCTGCCCGCATCCAAACGAGCCTCCAGTCTACCAGGACACGGGCCTCAAAACCGAAGACGAAAGCCCCATGCTGTGCATAGATTGAATACGTCATGTCATTGAGTCATAACCACGAGTGAAGTTAGTATCCTTGGAGTCTCCTTTCTTACCCCCGTGTAGATTTAAATAATATATTATCCAAACTACTATCGAATTAGTCAGTGAGTCATCACAAGAAATCCTTCCAGCACGACTTTGCTGTTCTAAATTTAAACCACACGACTAAGACTATTTAGACACTTTTAAATTAAACCACAAGAAAACTCCCTAGGCAAGGTCCTGAGTTAGTAGGAGCCTAGCTATCTTCGAAAGAATTCAGGCTAGAATCCGACAGCACCACGACTAATTATTTATTATTATTATTGTCTAGACTAGACTAGACTAGTATTTATCAATGAATAAAAAGCAATGTAGGAACCTCTTTGACCCTGGATCCCCTAGCATAGCCAGCAGCTTGTGACCTAAGAGGCATTGTCATCTGCGAGGCCCTGAAGCCTTCAACTATTAAATTTCTTGAAAGAAAAGAGCCCAGTCGGGCTCGGCCCGTGGATCCAACTCCTGTCCTGCTCAGCCTGACGTCAGCGGAGCTCCTGTTGGTCGCCGGCTTGGGGTCGCGAAGGCCTGGCACAGGTCATGAATAGCTCGAGTGACTCTTAGAACAGCATTGAAGACCATAACTGCCACCAAGCAGCCTCCCCACTTGCAATCCGCTGGGCCCATGGGTCCAACTCCGTTTTGGCTTTGATGGAGAGCTTGTTGTAGAAAGCTTTGCCCGGACCGAGGCTGCCCGACATCGTACCTTTGCTCCGGAACGGTGGGATAACATATGTTATGTTGAACCCTCATCACACGAATCGGTCTTCAGGCAAAAGGCATCCTGGCAGGTTCGCAATAAGCTTTACATCCTCCAGACGTAGCATGCCTTCGGAGAACAGAAGCCGCACCCAGTTCCCCAAGTCTGACCTCGGGTGTGCACAATTGGGGCATGGAGGGCCTAAGCAGGCCCGAACACGAAAGCAGCGACTGTATAGATGCAACACGGTGGCTCGGAGAGGTCTTTGGGGATGCAGGAGGCGAGGTCTTTGTCCAGCTTGTCCAGGTACATCTGGGCCTTTGCGGGGATGGCCTTTGCCTTCTGATGCTCTGCCTTGCTTGCCTTCTCCAAAGCAAAGTCGCCCGTGAAGATATCATCGTCGTCGCCGCTCTCCTGCTGCCCCTCTGAGTTGGCCACCTCGTCGTTGTCGTCGCTGTCCAGCTCCTCCGGGGGGCTCGGCACATCGTCCTCGCCCAGGAACTCATCATCATCCTTGCCCGTCTTGACATCCTCTCCTTCTCCCGGAACTTCTGGCTCCTCCTTCTCCTCGTGCTGCTCCGGCTCTTTGTCGCGGATCGCCCGGAGATTGGACCTCGGCTCTGTCGTCGTAAGCTTCGGCTTCCCAACACGGCTGTCGTCGGTCTCGCCCTTTCTCTTGGGTGGCTTTGGCGGAGGCAGCTTCTTCGCCTTCGGCGCCGCGATGCCGCTGCCCGAGCTCTGCCGGCTGATCTGCTGCTTGAGGTCCTGCGTGGCCGCCTGGGCAACACAGGATGCAAGCAACTGTATCATTGAAAAAATAGGGCCAGGCGAAACTACTATGCGGGTACAGTAATTATCTGACAAGCCAGCGGCAGCATCTGTGCTCTATGGTCTATGAGAGCATGCAAGTCAGCAGCACTGTGGTAACGGTTTAGGGTTTAGGGTTTAGGGTTTAGGGGTTTAGGGTTTAGGGGTTTAGGATTTAGGGTTACCGTGGGACTGGCCTCACGGTGCTTGCTCAGGATCGCTGCCACCTTCTTCTGCATCGCGGATTTTCCCTCGTCGCTCCGCCTGTTGGGGTGCTGGGAATATGCTCGAATAGCTCAGAATTTAGTCGACCGGGACTAATTATTGCATGATGGTAGGTGGAAACTGCAGGAATTAATTAATTTGAAATACATCAGCCCGGCGGTGCCTCAAAGCCTTGCGGTAAAGAAGTCGCAGCACTGCTGAGCAATCGCTCAGGCTTTTGGCGTTGCCAACGGAGATGGCGGAGGGAGCTCGCCCCGTAACTCAGCTGAAATTGTTCGTGCTAGGACAGAGACAGTCAGTCACACACGACTATTGTGAATTCTGAGCCTAGGCGAGGGGGTGCCGGGCATTGGGCGGGCTCGTGGTCTCTGCACAGTTTAGCAAGAAACGGCTAGGCTAGGTTTCGTTCATTTGGCCCTGTGCGAAACGTGTCGTCTATTGTAGAGTGCTCCTGCGGACCGGCACAACACTCGTATTTCTTGGCCACAACAACAGCCTACAAAACACACTCCCCCATCCAAGATTACCTCCTGGTTACCAAGGAAACTATTCGCCCGAACCACAGCAGTCCTACCCAAGTAACCCCGAGCTACTGGCTCTAGTTGATTTCTAATAGTATTTGTCGGAATTCCGAAGCAATTGTAAAACTCCAAGCAACCTGGCCCTCACCCCGAAACGAGAAATCCTTTCTCAATCATCCTGAACAAGCCACGAGCGACGACGAGGTCGCTCATCCTTTTCGCCCAGAGTGTCGATGCCGTGCGACCCTGGCGACAGACGGGAATCTTTATGGGTATTATGTATAGTAAGTTTATATTATAGGGCTTGGGTTTGTTTCTTCTATGTGAAAGGGCCGTTACAAGCGTTGACCATGTCGAACCTGGGGTACGAGGGGTGTTTTGCTTTGGTTTACACCCAGCGTAGTCAATGGTAGTTTCCTCGGGACTTAAAATACCGTCGTTGGAAACCTACACCAAATCAGGCTTGGAAACTCTGCTGTGATCCCAGAAACTCGGCTCGCTATTTGGTCAGTCACAACATGGGGCCCTCACTGCCTGTGATCCAGGCGCCAAAAGCTATATATGTTACGCAAGACACTGACTACAGAAGCACGTGTGCTCCAGAAGCCCCGAAGCTAGAAATCCGAATTTGCCGAGTCCGTTGCTAGTCGTCTCACCAACAAAAAACTTGATCCAACCAAAGCCCGCCCATCCCAGGTTAAGCTTCGAACTACCCGTCGAAAGCACTTGGTCCAGATTGCCACACGAGCCTCGAAAGCATACTGCTCCTTCTCTTCCTTCTGGCGTTGCTTCTGGGCCCTCTTCTCGCGGTTGGCCAGCAGGGTTTCCTGGGAACAGGTGACACGAGAAGGCAGGGCAGTGTTCGGGCAGGGTTGTGCGGTGGATTTTTCTCAGTGAAAGGAATCCAGGAAAGAACTCAGTATTTGTTTGTCTGACACTATTGATAATTACTGCAGCAGCCGCTAGTAAACCCAACAAGACCCCGGAGATTACAAAGATCGCAAGTAAGGTTCTACCTAGAGGTACATAGATTAATAGAGTGAGTTGAATACGTATGGGTACAACAGGCAAGGAACACCACACACGCACACAGACACACACACACACACACACACGAAAACACCAATATGCAGAGACAGCTACTTTCGCAGCTACCGTAATGAACCTTGCAAAGAAGTTAATGTAGCGGCCCCAATTCATAAGAGCAACAGAAGTCTTAGCCCAAGCGAAACCACAATGAGTCCGAGGCTCCAGTTCCCCCCCGCATTCATACACTTCTGTTGCAGCCAACATCTCGGTCACATGTGACAACACGAAGCCCAGCTGCTTGCTCGGAAAGTCGTCAAGCTTGCAGACCTCGTCGCTTTTCTGCAGCTCCTTCCTTGACAACCCGAACAAAGCCGCGGAGTCGTCAACGTCCTCGGACTCCAGGCAGGAGCTGGAATCCTCGTCGCCGCTGGACTTCGAGCTGCTGCTGCCTCCGATCGTGCATTCAGACAAGCATCGGGCCTTGCTGCATTTATGGATCAGCGACTATGGCTTTTTGCAGAAGAGATGCTGGCACCCTTTTTTTTCTTCTTCTTGCTCTTGTCCTTCTTCTCCTTCTTTTTTTTCTTTTCTTTCACCCCACTCTTCTTCTCCGAGTCGCTGGGCTTGCCTGAGATTGCATTGCACGGGTGAAGAGCAACAACTACTGTCACTGTCGAAAGCCGGAAGCAGCATAAATCCTATCCCAGGCGCCCCCTGTGAAAGCTTCATCAAGCGATCTCCGGGCCGTGCTCATCAGGAACTGGCGTGCCGAGGGCGTCTCGTCCTCACCGTCGCCAGCAGCGGCGGCCAGGCTCTTCGTGGAGTTGGTCCTGCAGCCCAGACACAGGACAATCCAAAACATCAGTGATTTGTGGCTACCACTAGAAGCAAGCGAAGCGTGAAACGGGGTCCTGCTGACCCCCGGCTTGTTCAGCTTCACCATGAGCCCTTCACGAACAAGCAATCGTGATTGCTGGGGCACGGATCTACGAAATCTGGAGCCCTAGGTGGGTTGTGAGATTATCATACGATTTCAAGGGCCGGGGACCTCATGATCATGAAAGCCCCGCAGTGAAAACCACGTGGTTCCTGTGTTGCCTGCTGCAAGTCTTGTGTCTAGTGCGTGGTGCATGCTGTCCTGAAGCCCACGCTTGAGCAATGTCGAGGCACTCGAAACACAGGTGTAACAAGCTTGGCACAAAGTTCAGTGCTGGCTTCACTTGCAAGGCAAACTCCAATCAGCCCATCAGAACCCTCGCTTTTCATGCCCCGGAACAAACGTCAGAGCTGTGCCCAGGAGCCACTGGCCCGCTGCTCTGCACCTGAGATTGAGGGCTCTCGATTTATGACTGTTTTCGGCCAATCAATGAGGGAGAAACCTTCATGATATATAAATCAAGCATCACTCATTCCAGATGCCCCAGCAGCAATAGCCCAATCGGCTGCAACTTAGATGCGTGGATCACCCCCTGTATTTAGTGCAGATCAGACCCTCGTACCAGCGAAGACCAAGCACAATTAGGATATTCTCAGGAACCAAACCGACACCACTCAGAGCATGCAGGCAGGGTTTTATCTTTTTGATTTAGTTAGTTAATTCATTCCCGTGTCCCAAGAAACCCCAAAGTCTCGGGTACGGTACAGGGCAGTGTTTCAGGGGTTGTACTTATTATATTCATAGACTAATGTATTTTCGATTCAGGATTCTGTAGTATTTAGACGGTAGCTATAGAGTCAGTCAGAAGCAGTTTATTTTTCTATCGAGTGCATTACAACAATCACAAGCCGGGCACTGCGATCTGAAGTAGGTTATTGCTTGTATCAGCATAATACAATAATTGAATTAGTTTCGCTATCACATGACTATGGAACTTGCCTACGGACCCAACGAATTTCAACACCAGACTATGAACCCTTAAAAGCGGCACGACCACAGTTGCAGCTGAGAGCCGTGTGGCCTGATCCATTCCTGCATTGTTTCAATCCAAGCAGCCTGCCCCCATTCATCGACCAGATATCCGGATAATCGTCGTAGCCAAGGAATAACCAAAATTTGATCCTCCAGATCTCATCATAAACATAACCACGGCCAGCCGATCTCAGCTGTGCCTGAGCTATTGAAGCTGCAATGTGCGACAGTCAAAAAAAAGCGTCTGCGTTCATGAGCTTATGAATCGCGTGCGGGTCACAAAGCCAGCCAGTGATTACTACTAATAACGAGAATGACCCCTGTGGTGTGAGTCGTAGTCTTATTCATTAGCTATGGTGATGGTGGTGTTCGGTTCTGATGACTCCGGGCTTAGATTAGACCGACATTAGGACCCCATGATCCACCCTACAGTCATTGTAATCCGAGCAGCTTCTGCTCGCCCTTCTCAAGACTCAACGGGTGGCAGAGGTTCCCACTCCTGCACAAGTCGGGCATCCCCACAGACAGATTCCGATTTAAATTAAATAACCACTAGTGAACGAATCAAGCTATTGAAAACCCCATCAATGAATCAATCAAGCCAGCTCTTTCCCACGGTCGAAGACACAGAAAGCTGCAAAGCGAGGGGCAGTCCTCCCCGAGCATATCCGTCACAGTTGTCTGGGTGGCCTCAGCACAACCAGAAATGACCCTTGCCCCGACCCCTACTGTCTTCAAATGCCGCAGACCTGTGCTGTTGTGATCGAACACACGATTTGAGACAATACCCTACCTCCGGCATACATACAGACATAAGATGTGCTGCCGTGGTACAGCCACCATGGATGGTCCCAAGGGCCGCGTCACGTAGAAGTCCTGGGCCTGCACAATGGCAAGAAAGGGGCACGAAACCAAGAATGAAGCACAATTGAAATACAGCACTGACAGACAGAATGCCACCTCGAAGCGAATATCTTGCTTTCGGCCATCTCGAATTGGATCTGAATCCCGACGATTAACCATATAGCAATCGTCCAGGTCCTCGCAAGCAACCGTCCAGCATCAGGGGCGAATGCCGAATTAATTGCTCAAACACAAATAGACAATCAAGCAGCTGTCGCGCCCGGGCCTCTTTCAAGACAGTGAGGGCCATTGCACTAAACTGCCTGGACCAGTTCAGTGTCATGAGGGAGTCCACAGAGCGGCGGTGCCGAAGCATCACCAGATCGCACACCTCTGCCAGTCAGGCTATTGCCTAAACCCAAGCAACAAAGCGAAGCCGCACAGAACACTAAGTTGCATGCATGCGACACAGTACACAAAGCTCCCGGTGATGACGTCAAAGTAATTCGGCATGGTCGACAATGTGTCCACCTTCTTGTTGGCCAAACAGGAGCGGTACCTAAGACCAAGTACACATGAAAAAAACATTACATGAGCATGGCCACATGACATGACCAACAGCCACAAGCTGAAGACAACTAAACCGTTCATTCCAAGCAGCATCAACAGAAGGCGGGAGGAAATGAATTTGATGCCCTTGATCACGAGGCGATCGCTTCCAATCATCCAGGTCATACCCCTTTGTTGCTTTCTGGCTCTCATGAGAATCAAGTCACAACCGGACACAGGCCCAAATGCAGAATGAGATGCTGCTTGCTGCTGCCAAAAACAGCATTCGGGAAGGAGCCCTTGATGCACTTCATGGCTGCTGCCGGCTCCTGTGTCACAGCAAGGTCTATTCAGTCTGTTCCACACTGGATTCCGCACCATTGATTCCTCTAGACTTGAGTGGCAGTCCTGCAAGCAAGGCTGCTTCTCGAAACAGACCGCGACGTGCAAAGGCATCGTGATAACGACTCTGATGCGTATAAAGTGGCACAGCATCATCAGGTCGCTCAGAAACTCCTCAAATCAACCAAGGCATGGCATCATTTCCCAATCACACAAACCAGAACTTAGCCCGTTCACCATCCACGGCCAAGTCGCGGCGACCTCCTTCACTCCCTCCAAGGAGCTGAAATACCGAAATGGCCTCAATCTCAATGGAGCAGGGAAGCAAATTCAGAACTGCCCACACCAGTGAAAGGTTGCCAAGCAAATTGCATCTGGGTCACGACATAAAGAGCAAGCCTCCCGGAAGGATTCGCGACACCATCTGCAGACCTGGGTCTGTGGCGAGTCCCGTCAAAACATGAATAGCCCCGTGCTATATGACCAAATGCGATAAAGGAGCAAAGAATCTGCCCGCCCTCGGTCGGCAAAGTCTCCTCGAAGTCGGAGCCGTCGATGAAGGCGCTCGGCACATGTTCTTGTGCGAGGGGTTTGAATGGTTGGTGTTTTCTACTGGGTGTTGCCAACACTGGGATGCTTGCACAAATCAACTCAGGATCGGTCCCTCTCCACAGCTGTCGCCAACAACCGATGACCCCATTCCAGAAGGTATATAAATCGCTCCCTCCTCATTGTGCCAGTGGGCTCGTCATGATCGTAGTTCGGATCCAAAACCCATGGCACTTCCTTCTCCACTCGGCGCTGGAAAGCTGCCGAAAACATGGGGAGCGGCATCTTTAAAAAACTGTGTTCTGTCATTGTACGATAATGTGCACACATGCTCCACGAAGGATGACTGATGGCCCCTGCATACTATTAAGTCTGTGCCTAGCATGCTCATGAATCACACACAACCTTGAAAGATAAATCAACTGAGCGGGCACGCTTACAAGTTGGAAGCACGGTCCCTGAGGAAGCATGTGTTCCGCATCTCTTGATTTAGGGTCCTAACACTGTGCGGAGCATCAAAATGTAGGATTTCTGAGGCCCCAAAGACACCCAAGGGGCGACTCCGGACCCTCCTAGAGAGATACCTGGACCCTTACTTAGATCATGGGACGTAGTAAGTAGCTTATAATTGGGGTTATAAGTCCCCTAAGTGGGGTTATCCTACTTATAACCTACTTATAACCTTGCTTAGTAAGTCCCACGAGCCTTTAAGTAGACCCTAAACCCTAAACCCTTATTATAGAAACCCTACAGTATCCTTAAAGGGAACCCTAAGCCCTTACTTACTAAGTCCCATGAGCCTTTAAAACCCTTAAAGGGAACCCTATTATAGAACCCTATAGTACCCTTAAAGGGAACCCTAAGCCCTGTAGGGCAGGTGCTTGTTTGCGTGCCCGGTTTCCTCAGGGAGCGCTAGAGGACCTGAGCGGTCATAGCAACGATGGCCGCGCCCAGCGTCATAGCGGGATGCGTATAGGGTTTAGGGTTTAGGGTTTAGGATTTCGAAGTCGGAAGAACTACTCATACGATTCTTTAGTTTCCTGTCCTAGTTTTGTCTACTCCAAAAGACTGCTTTGTGTTTTGAGGTAGTACCCTTATTCCCTTTTTGTAGTCCTAGGTTCCTTATAAAGTTACCCAATACCAAAAAGAGACGCCTTTTTATTCTTAGGTTACTGGGTATCCTAGTCTAGGAGTTAGGGTTTAAGGGTTGAGGCTTCAGCGATTTAGGGTTTACGTTTTCAACCCTCAACCCCAAACCCGAGGCCTCTACACCCTAAACCCTTTCCGGTGTGTTCTGGGCGATGGTTTCTCGACCACTGCTCTCCTACTCCTTCCGCTGGGATCCCTGAATTCTGCCTGAAAAATCTGGACCAACATCTCAGCCACCATCGAAATTCACACCTTTTCGTACGGGTATTGGGCATTAAACCCTAAACCCTAAACCGATTAAGGTTAAGGACGCATTCGAGAGAAGGACCCCTTCTGCCGTGGTTTTCTGCGGGGTTAGGCTTGATGTCAGTTTGACCAACCCCATAACATACACTAAACCTGGAGAATTGCAAGCACTAAACCCTATCTGAACCATCATGCCATTAGAACTAGAAAGTGCCACTGATCCAGGAACGTGCTGAGGGCTTGCAAGAAAGAGGCAGAGAAGCTCGGCCCAACATAGTTGTCGTCCTTACATACTTGTGCTGAATACTCTAGCTTTTCTGCCAGTCGAAATCAGGGTCTTTCTCACTTAACCGGCGGACAGGGGCTTCTATAGTTTAGGAGAAATGTGAGTTTGGCAGTGGCTCATTGCCGTTGAGTACTTACGGTGTTGTTGTGGATGTCCGAGTGGATGCAGCTTAGGAAGGACAGCCTGTACGGAGTACTTCTTGCTCTGTTACTATGACGACGACGATAGGGTTTCTGCTTCTAGGAGTTACTCTTCAGTATCAGAGCCTTGGTGATCTCTAAACCCTAAAGAACAAAAGCAACCACAGACTTATCGTCATCATCATGGCCGCTCTTGGGAGGTATCTGCTTGTTCTTCCTGGACAATATTGTGAGTCCTAGCGATGCTGACAGCCAAACCCCCACAAATGAAAGGTCAATGCCCGGATCCGCAAACCCTAAACCTTATACCATAAGCCCTAAAGCCTCAAGCCCTAATCCCCGACACCTACACCCCAAGCCCTCACCTCCCAAGCCTAACCTCCACAATCCTAAATTCTAAACCACAAGCGAACTCCCCCCCCTTCCAGATGCAACAAACCTTCGAGCCTAAAGTGTCCAAATTCTTGTTCAATATCAAGCTGAACCTTAAGCCTAAGCTCCAAAACGCTCTTTGAAGATTTTACACAGACACAGATCCCCACTCACTCTTAAACCCCAAGCCCAGCACTCTATCCCGAACCCCGAAACCCTAAGCATCCGCTGACATCCCCGAGCTCTAAATTCTAAATCCTACACCCTGAAACCCTCGACAAAAACACTAACCCTGAAACCCTGAACCCCCCTAAGAGCTTTAACCCAAGAAGGTTCAACTAGCCCTTGATCCCCAATGGCTCTAGGTGGTGGTGATGACCTAATTGGGGCCCAAAACTAAGGGTACTTTATACTCGGATGCCCAGTAGTACCCTTATTCCCTTTTTGTAGTCCTAGGTTCCTTATAAAGTTACCCAATACCAAAAAGAGAGGCCTTTTTATTCTTAGGTTACTGGGTATCCTAGTATATCCTAGTATAGGATCCCCCATTAAGGGATCTACTCTTTGGATCCTCCCGGGGGGCTTTGAAAGACTTCAACATCCGAGGCTCGAGGTCGTGGTGATGACCTCCAGCATGTCCGCCATGGCGCCCACCCCTGAGCCGGAGGTGAAAAGCGAGGCCCAAGCAGCCACTAACTAGGGACCCTGGGACTTCCTTTAGGGCTCCTTTAAAGGATCTATAGGGTTTAGGGTTTAGGGTTCAGGGGTTCAGGGTTTAGGGGATTCGGACTTTAGGAGTTAGTAAGGGGCTTAGGGCTTAGGGGCTTCATTAGGTCTTGCTGATCTACTTCTCTATCTAGCTACCTATCTACCTATCTCTCTGTCTATCTATGGGTCAGTTTGTCTACCTATATCGTTTATATCGTTTGTCTATCTATCTTTCTGTCTACCTACCTATCTGAATCTATGACATCCCGTTTTCGCCCAACCTCCCCTGAACGTTAATCCTACAGACCCTCAACCCTCAACCTTAGACCCTCATCTAAACATTACCTTACACGACCAAAGCCTACTGTTTGAAGGGGTCCCTATAAACTCGATTCAGTGGGGTTGGTAGTATCATGGGCATCAAAATAGCCCAAAAGCCTTATATAGTATGGTCTTTGGGCCAAAAAACCTCAATATATGAGTCCTTAGATGCCTAGGGGTAAGAACCTTCAAAGTATATAGGTTATGGTGGTTTGAGGTAAACCCTGGAGCCTAAAAAGCTCAGTGGCTGAGTGGATACACTTTACACTTTGGGGGATAATATTACCCACTATAGAACTGAAAGTGTACACTTTTTTGGTGCTTTTTGAACTCAGTACTTAAAGGCTCATAGGACTTAGTAAGTAAGGTTATAAGTAGGTTATAATTGGGATAACCTCACTTAGGGGACTTATAACCCTAATTATAACCTACTTACTAAGTCCCATGATCCTCTAAGTAAGAAGGGTTCACAGAGGACCACTGGTCTGACCCGGACGGGCAGCGAGCTCGCGGCAGCCACTACGGCGCGGGGAAGACTCTTGCAGAGACTTGGCCTCATATTGTATGACGGCTTAGGGTTTAGGGTTGAGGGGTTGAGGGTTAAGGATGGTTTGGGGTTTCTGTTATGTTGGTGCTTGTTGGTGGCGT